GTGTTTTCTGTCAGGCTAAAATTTACAGGAATAGTGAACCACAAGGATTTCCTGAGGAGAGGTTCCCACATGCTGTGTCTGAGGTTTCTCGTATTTCTTTTGGCAACACTATCATTCTACAATACTACAGAATTATAGTTTGAGTCCAGTGCTAATAATTTTTTACAAGAAAACAACTTAACTGAAATATTTATGGTTCTATTTTGCTTGAACCAAGGAAAAAAGTTATAACCAAAAATTACCTATCATCACCTACTCTACCTTGCCCTCTACAAAAAAAAGTCCCTTTCTGAGGCTGCCATCAACCTATAATAATATTTACCATATGAAGCATAGAAATTTCTATGTATTCATTTATAAATTTAATACCCCAACCTACAAATACAGTGATTAGGGCTGTTGCAACATGGAGCCTGATCTTGTCGTAAAAGAAGAAATACATTATTATATATTAGGCCGTCACATTTTAATAACTAACATATTTGCCTTTTTCTTTTTTTTCAAGTTTTTTTAAAATTTATTTTGAGAGAGAGAGAGAGAGAGAGACCAAGAGCAAGCAGAGGAGGGGCAGAGAAGGAGAGAATCCCAAGCAGGCTCTGCACCAGCCACATGGACCATGATGGAGGGCTTGATCTCCAAACCATGAAATCATGACCTGAGCAAAACCAAGAGTTGATAGCTTAACCAACTGAGCTACGCAGGCAACCCCATTTGCCTTTTTCACTTCTCACTCGTGCATAGGGTAGAAAAAGCTTATCTATATGGTTTCATGTTCCACATTAAAATCAACCTTTTCTAAACTATCACTTGTTGAGTTTTGTTATGGGTATTCTTTGGTAATACAATTGTCAGAAAAGACTTAAAAAATATTCCCTTTCTAGGGGTGCTTGGGTGGCTCAGTCAGTTAAGCGTTTAACTCTTGTTTTTGGCTCAGGTCATTATCTCATGGTACAAGTGATTGAGCCCTGCGTAGCTATTAGCGCAGAGCCTACTGGAATTCTCTGTCTCCCTCTCTGTCTCTGCCCCTCCCCAGCTTGTGCTCACGTGCTCTCTCTCAAAATAAATAAATACACATTTCAAAGAAAAAGAAGAATCTGGCTCTCTCCTGTTAAGCCAGGTAGTAAGGAGATTTGCAAAAATGTAAAACAATCCATCTTGCTCAATACCTTTCTTTTTCATTTTGGAGAAATAGTGTTCTCATTAAAAATTACATTATTTACATTAATATTGTAATGGGCTTACTGTTATCTTAAGTAAATTAATAAATATTTTAATTTTTTTAGTTTTAATTTCTAATATGATAAATGTTGTTGGACATCCACAAAAACTCTTTGGGGCTCTCAATAATTTTTAAGATCCTAAAGAGGTTTTGAGACCCCAAAAAAATCTGTGAACCGCTAGTCATGATCTGGTTTTCTGAGATCTGTCAAATAGTACACAGGTTACTTGGCAGTTTCAGAGAAAATGTGATGGTAATTTTAGCCCCCAAACACTTTTTTTAAATTAATAAAATAATAATTTTACCAACAATCACTTTGCACTCTTAAAATTTGCTCAGTTGTGCTATGAGGTCTAATTTGGTCGGTTCATCTTAGTTAATGTTCAGTTTGTTAACCAGGGGATATTTGTTTTTCATTTGCGTGTTATCATTGGTTAAATACTAAATTTTATTTTGGCTCTAAAGCGATTGAAGCATAAAAATAGAAATAAAACAAAATTAAGGATGCAACTCAGAATACTAAAATAAACATTATGAATAAGAGCTTTAGAGTACATACAGTCTGAGTTTATATGTTTAGAAATGGTCTGATTTGCAATAGCAGTCTAAAAAAGTAAAGTGTAAATAAGAAATACAATGGTGCCTGGAATTATATTCTATCAGACCTGCAGTACCTTCATCCGTAGTCTCCAAGGATTGTCTACTCTGAAATTTTGTCTAACTAGTTACACAAAGCCATGAAACAAGGCACAGTGATAGTCTTGGCAGGCCAAAATTTTCCAGAACTGTAAAACAGTGCTTTCTAGGGTGAAAGTGATGAATTCTGTCACTAGAGATGGGGAAGAAACCAGAATTACTACAGCATCATTCATAGTTGCATAGCTCATATAAATGGATGTCACACCTTTGATAAGAACGTTGTGAAACCAACCAAAAAGTTAATGAAAAGTTTTACATTGCTAGAAAAGGCAGAATAAGGTACTGACAGAATTACTGTATCAAATGACACCTCTGGACGTTATTGGTATTATTCAAGGTACATGATTAATGCTGCTATTTTGCAAAAAGTGAAATAGCCAAGTGTTCCAGATTATGGTGTTTCCAACTGAGTACATATGCTTTAGTTGATGTGCAGAACACCTATGGAGAACAAAGTATTCATTGTTTCTCTTCTATTTAATCACTTTAAAAATTTTCCATTTTGTTATTTTGTGAGCTGTGATATGAACTGGAAAAGGAAGGGACTTTGGGGTCAGTGCTGACACTCATCAGCTAAGTGTGGAGTAAGAAAGGTATTAGAATTTGAATGAAAAAAAATTTAGCCCCCATCCCCACCCTGAAGCCTGTTGCCACAGAACAGTTAGCAATCAGAGTGTGCCTCAGGGTCTTGACTGAGCCTTTAATTAAAACTGGGGTCAGCAAACTAATGCTTTTGGAGCAGATTTGTCCTCTGCTCCTGCCTGATTTTCTGTGGCTGGTGAACTAAGAGTGGACTTCATGTTTTTAAATGGTCGGGGGAAATATCAAAAGAATGATATTTTGTGACATATGAAAATTATAAGTAGGTCAGTATTTCCATAAATAAAGTTTTATTGGAGCATAACCACACTCATTGTTTTATGTAGTGCTGTGGCTGCTTTTGCACCAGCAGCAGAACTGATTAGTTACGATAGAGACCATATGGTCTGCAAAGTGTGAAATATTTACTGTCTGGCCTTTTACAGGAAAACTTTGATGACCCTGGAATTAGAGTAACTCTGCTTTGATCCATCTTATTTATTGTTCTTCCCCCATGGGAGTTCACTTGAAGAAAGAGTTCTGCCTTAAAAACAAGTTGTGTTGTGTTTTTTTTTTTTTTTTAAGTATGTAAACTTTTCAAAAGGTCAGCCCAACCGAACAAGCATTCTTGTTCTTTTGCCACTATGGGGACAGAGCAGGGTGGGGTTCACAACTCATTTTGAAAATATTTGAGTAATTCAAGGCGATATTTGAAGATCAAGGCAATATTTGAAGATACATTACGGGTGATGTTAAGATTAACCGTTTGTGCCACCAAAGGTTTTAAGTCTGGTAGAGAGATAAGAACATATCCCTCCTTTTATTATAACTTTTTTGTATACTTTTTCAAAAGAGTATTAAATGTAGCTTTAAAAGGAGGCATTTTACTTATCTTCTATTCTGGCAAATTGATACCCAGCAAATTGCTACCAGTACAAGCAAATTCCCACTCTGCCTCATTTTCCCAAACTCAAGGATATATTCCCTAGAAATATTGGTCTCACTTAACTGCCTCTTCTGTTTCCGTAGTATCCAATACAATTCTGCAATTATTAATTTGCTTGATATTTCTATACTAAATTATAAGGAAGTTTCCCTGGTGTCTTTCTCTCTAAACATAGGAGGGACTGTTTGTTATTTTAGATAGTATAGTATAATATTTCAGAGTGTTGGCTTTGGAATCAGACCTATCCTGCTTTCTGTATCTAACAGAGTGAGTCTGTTTCCTCATTTATGAAATGGGTATTAACAATAACAATGATCATAATACTTTTTAAAGTTTGTTGTGAACCTTAAGTGAAATGATGCAAGTAGAATGCTTAGTTAAGCTTTTGCCACATGATACTACATTAGCTGTGTTGCTGTTTACTATTTTCATGGTGGTTGTTATTTTATCTCTACTACCTAACGTAAGGTCTTTTTTAAAGTATTAAATATTTTTGTTGAATGGAATCGGGGTTTATTTTTAAACATGTCACCAACTTTGTGCTTTAGAGAAGACAAAGTTAAAATTAAAGCTTGCTATTTATCCAGAAAGAATTGTGCCATGTATTTTCATCCAACAGTGATGCTGATGCATCTGATGATTGGAGTAATTTTGTTTGTTTGTTTTGTTTTGTCTGTTCCAAAACCTGTGCTCTTTCCACCTGGCTTATATATAGTTGAAGTGTAATTTGAGTGATTACTATGGACCAGGTACTGTTCTAAGTGCCTTGTATGTATTTAGTCCTTGAAAAGACCCTATGAACAAGGTGTAATTATTATTCCTATTTTAAGATGAGACAGCTGAAGCGAAGAATTTAAACTGTCATAGGATATTCAACCAATAAGAGGCACAGTTGGGATTTGAACCTGTAGTCTAGCTCCAGAGTTTGTGTTCTTAACCACCATGTTCTAATGCTTTTATTAGCCACAGAATCTCTTGTTTGCCTTATGGTTGTATGTGAGATACAGCTTATTTTAGGTAATTTTCTTGGAGTTTTAAGATTGTTTACAGTGGCAGACATATGGTAGGTCATACATACTTTTGCTTGAATGAATTAGTGAATATGATAGTATAAAATTATAATTAATGTAGTATAATCATTGCTTAATTCTTAGCTTCAAGTAATAACTACTTTTCATTGTAGGCCCTCTTAGGAGCTATCTATAGTCAGGCTTGGCTATTTTGAAGTAATCTACTCTAATACTACAAATATTTGGGCAAAGAAATTGCTTTACAAATCTATTTATATTCCTAAACCCATTTTTTCTTGCTGGTACCCACTCAGAAAAATCTGTGTTTAGAGTTTTTCCTTTTTTGGGTCCCTCTGTTGAATTGTTGATTTTTTTTTTTTTTTAATGTTAAATGGCATTGTGACAGATAATTCACTTTTTAATAGATGAAGCCTTAAAGAATTGGGGCATACTGGTCATGATAGTGAGTTTCCTATTGAATTTGACCTCTAAGCTTTTTAAATAGCAGTGATCTTGAAATTTGCTTTATTTCATATGTCTTTTTCAGAATTCTCCACTTTACCAGTACTTACAGGATCTGGGACATACAGACTTTGAAATATGCTCTTCTCTGTCACCAAAACCAGAAAAAAGCACAGTGACAGAGGGACAACAAAAGCCTCCTGCAAGAGCCCTGCCAAAAGTAAGAAATCACGCTCATTCTCTCTGATTAATCTCTTGTTCTTCACCTCACTAATTATTCAAAGTGCCTTTACCTTTACCCTTGCAAAAACAAAAAAAAACACATAAGTACCTCCATGTCTTCCTCAACACTGGTTTAAGATATGATGTTTTATTTCATCAGTAGTACAAAACTGTTTAGATAAACATAAATCCTTGCTGTTTTGGACTATCTCAGTAACTTCTATAATAAATGGAAATTAATATGGTTGAAGATTAAAATATATTGTCTATTCAAATATTGAAGTTGTTTAGAGGGAACCAGAAAAATATACTAAAGCCTTAATAAGAATTCAACCAGTAGGACTCATATTAATTGAAATTTTTTTCTTTTCATATTTTTTTTATTAAAATTTTTTTTTTCAACGTTTATTTATTTTTGGGACAGAGAGAGACAGAGCATGAACGGGGGAGGGGCAGAGAGAGAGGGAGACACAGAATCGGAAACAGGCTCCAGGCTCTGAGCCATCAGCCCAGAGCCCGACGCGGGGCTTGAACTCACGGACCGCGAGATCGTGACCTGGCTGAAGTCAGACGCTTAACCGACTGCGCCACCCAGGCGCCCCTCTTTTCATATTTTTTAAAAGAGAGCACAATTAACGTCACTCCTAATCAGGGAAATACAAATCAAAACCACACTGAGATACCACCTCACACCAGTCAGAGTGGCTAAAATGAACAAATCAGGAGACTATAGATGCTGGCAAGGATGTGGAGCAACGGGAACTCTCTTGCACTGTTGGTGGGAAAGCAAACTGGTGCAGCCGCTCTGGAAAACAGTGTGGAGGTTCCTCAAAAGATTAAACATAGATCTACCCTATGACCCAGCAATAGCACTGCTAGGAATTTACCCAAGGGATACACGAGTGCTTGATGCATAGGGGCACTTGTACCCCAATGTTTATAGCAGCACTTTCAACAATAGCCAAATTATGGAAAGAGCCTAAATGACCATCAACTGACAAATGGATTAAGAAGATGTGGTTTATATATACAATGGAATACTAGTTGGCAATGAGAAAGAATGAAATCTGGACATTTGTAGCAACATAGATATAACTGGAAAGTATTATGCTAAGTGAAATAAGTCAGGCAGAGAAAGACAGATACCATATGTTTTCACTCATTTGTGGATCCTGAGAAACTCAACAGAAGACCAGGGGAAGGGGTAGGGGGAAAAAAAAGCTACAGAGAGGGAGGCAAACCATAAGAGACTCTTAAATACTGAGAACAAACTGAGGGTTGATGGGGGGTGGGAGGGAGGGGAGGGTGGGTGATGGGTATTGAGGAGGGCACTTGTTGGGGTGAGCACTGGGTGTTGTATGGAGACCAATTTGACAATAAATTACATATTAAAAAAAAGGAAGAAAAAATAAAAAAAATAAAATAAAAGAGAGCACAAGTTATAAGAAAGCAAATTGATAACATATTTCACAGACAGTTTCAAGGGTATATGATGGAGTGGGTATATTTACCTCAATTTCTGATGCCCTTTATATCTGTGTAGTATCTTTTTTTTTAATGTTTATTTATTAATTTATTTTGCGAAAGAGAGTGTGGGTGGGGAAGGGGCAGAAAAAGAGGGAGGAGAGCATCCCAAGCAGGCTCTGCATTGTATGCACAGAGCACTACATGGTGCTCGATCTCATGAACCATGAGATCATGACCTGAGCCAAAATCAAGAGTCAGATGCTTAACCAACTGAGCCACCCAGGTGCCCCTGCACAGTATCTTTTTATACAATAAATATCTCAGTTGACTACAACATTGTGAGGCTAAGATACTAAAAAGAATCTCCATTACCATCAATTATGTTCTGTAAAATGCATTTAATAGATTCATTTATGTTCTATTAGCCATATTTATTAAAATAAGAAGATATTCCAGTACATTTCAGTTTTAACAAAAGGAATTCTAATTTAATAGGAAAAAACCCCAGATTACCTCATTTCCTAAACATTCTAGTTTAATCATTGTTTTATTACAAGACATCATTATTTTGGGGAGGAGGATTTTAAAGTTTTCAATTAGTTATTTACTCTGTGGTGATAGAGAGAGAAGTATCTTTTCTCCTGTTCTTAGAAAAATCCCTACAATGTGAGATAACCAAGCTGGTCCCATTTGTCAGAGCAGAATAAATACTGGAGAAATGTTTTTTTGACTGACACTTACAGGGTGGGAGTTAGGGAGTTAGAGCTCACACAGATCAGAACCAGTTTGCTATTCCTCTGCACTTAAACCCTTTTTTCTCCCTGACCCTTTCAAATGTGGATGTTCCTGGGAAGAATTTTGAAAGCAAAACCTAAGGATACAGCTAACAGGTTATTTATAGATTAAGACTTGGATTTGAGATTACTTGGCCACAAAAGACAAAAAATGGGCCAAGGGATGGTCTTAGCCAGGATATGGGCATTGGCCTTTTTTTGTTGTTACGCAAAAACTTGGGTTTTATAGGTTTTAATCCTTTTCATTTATGATAGGTATTTTTACATATAGAAATGTTATTATTAACTTATAAATAAATAAATAAAATGAGAGTTGAAAATTTCATACCTCAGAAATTAAGAACCAGTAAAAAGCATAGCCAGAGGGGCGCCTGGGTGGCGCAGTCGGTTAAGCGTCCGACTTCAGCCAGGTCAGGATCTCGCGGTCCGCGAGTTCGAGCCCCGCGTCGGGCTCTGGCCTGATGGCTCAGAGCCTGGAGCCTGTTTCCGATTCTGTGTCTCCCTCTCTCTCTGCCCCTCCCCCGTTCATGCTCTGTCTCTCTCTGTCCCAAAAATAAATAAACGTTGAAAAAAAAAAATTAAAAAAAAAGCATAGCCAGAGAATGCGTTTCAAAATTACCACAGGTTGGGGCACCTGGGTGGCTCAGTCGGTTAAGTGTCCGACTTTGGCTCAGGTCACAGCTTGTGGGTTCGAGCGCCTCATCGGGCTCTGTGCTGACAGCTCAGAGCCTGGAGCTGGCTTTGGATACTGGAGCCTGTTTGGGATTCTGTGTCTTCCTCTCTCTCTGTCCCTCCCCTGCTTGTGCTCTGTCTCTCTTCCTCTCTCTCTCTCAAAAATAAACATTTAAAAAAATTACCACATGTCCAGAAAGTTCCTTTAGCCTTCATATTACACATTTCAATTGTATGAGCTAAATTTTTCTAAAATGGAGTTTTTCTAAATCTGGGGCAGCTGAATTTTAGAAAGATTTGTTGTATTACTTAGTTCCTTCTCAGGGGATATATTTTTAGAATTGCCCCCAAAGTTCTGTTCAAGCAGTGAAGTACCGATTATTTTCTTTTGAAAGCAGATTTTTTATTATTATATGAGACGGTGATGAAGCTATATTTAGGATTAATCACCCTTTTTTCACTTTTATTTTTTAATGTTATTGTTAAGTACTGACTGAGTAGCTATATTGGGATTCTCACTGTGAATATTTATTCTCTGTATATTTTTCTAGTTTCTTTTCCTGTGATTATTCTTAAACGTTCCTCCCATAAACTTTGAGCATCAGGCCTCTTTGCTTGACCTGTTTCTCTGAGTGATCTCATGTACTTTTTGCCCTCATTGGCCACTTATATGCATTCTGTCTTCTCTCAGTTCTGGATGCTTGTCAAACATTTTCACCTGCCCTATACCCCAGGAAACTCAGATTCAGAATATGTAAAACAGAACTTTTTTCCAACTCAGCACTCCCAAAACAAACAATATTCTTTCCATATTCCCAAATTACCACTCTGTTATCTTAAGTTTCCTATCACTCCCACATTAATTTGGTCACTAAATGATAAGTCAACTTCTTATGTCTCTAAAATCCAACCCGTATTCACTACCATTTTTTGTTACCCTGCTTTAGGCCTTTATCATTGTTTAGCTGGACTATTAAATATCCTTCTAATGATACTTCTTGGCTACAATTATTTCCTCCTAGTACCATCTCTGTGCTGTAGCCAGTTATTTTTCTAAAATGCTGATATTTATTGTTTCATATCCTTGCATAAAAATCTTATGCAAGGTGCTCCTCATAGCCTACAGTATAAAGTCTAAACTATTATGGCATATAAGACCAAAGTTCTTTAAAAACCCTCTCAGTGTTCATTACTATTCCCTTCTTCCCTTGGGTCATAGCCCAGACTATGCCACCATGACCATGGCAAGTGGTTACATGGCTGTCCCCTTTACTCATTCTGTTCCCTTGCCCAGAATGTTCTCCCTCCTTTGTTAAAATTTCTGCTCATCTGTTAGGGTATAGCGTCAGTGTTAACACCTATCGACATCTTTTCCCACACTTTCCGAGACTTTACATTGATTTGTAATTATTTACTTTCTCTTCTAAGTTTTTGAAAATAACAGTTATATGTATTTATCTTTGTTCCTATGACCCTTTTTTAGTACTCAGGATATAGCAATCACTCAATGAATGTAAACTGCATTTACTCAGATAATAGGCTATTAACATTAAGGTAAATTGAATTTTTGGTTGGTTCAATAATAAAAATTATTTCAGTATGAGACACTTTTTCTAAAGTTGATTAAAATATCTTTATGCCTTAGCATTGTGGAATGAAAATGTTCTTAGTATTTAAGAACTTGGAACACCCTGTGGTTTTCATTAAAATATATACTGTCATCTTGACATAGATAGTATATAGGGTACCGAAGACAAATGAGCTGCATCAGGATAACTTCCGAGTGCTCTTTTAAAAATCTGCTGTTCAGGGCACCTAGATGGCCCAGTTGGTTAAGCATCTGACTTTGGCTCAGGTCACGATCTTGCAGTTTGTGGGTTCAAGCCCCATGTCTGGCTCTGTGCTGACAGCTCAGAGCCTGGAGCCTGCTTCAGATTCCGTGTCTCCCTTGTTGTCTGCCTTTCCTCTCCCCCTTGCTCACGCTCTGTCTCTCTCTCAAAATTAAATAAACATTAAAATTTTTCAAATAAATGAATAAATAAGAATTTTTTTTTTTAAATCTGCTTTTCAGGTCTCATCCAAACCTAATGAATCTGAACCTTTGGTTTGGGGACCCAAGAATATGTTTCTAACTAAAATCTCTAGGTGATTCTGATGTGCAAGTAAATCTGGGAACTATTAAGGAGCCTGAGACATACTGACAAAGGATATAACCAAGATGATTTTTTTCCTCCCTTTTTCTAATAAAAATTTTGGTTAATTAGAAGTAAGTTATTTGCAGTTTTTCTGCTGTGTGGGTGTGGTTTAATGTATCCTGTACAATCTCATTAATCTCCTTCAGCGAAGCATCCTGTTAAAAGTGGCTGAAACCATCAAAAGTTGGATTTTTTCTCAGTACAATAAGAAAGATGACTTACTTCACAAGTTGGTAAGTGTTTGCTCTATTTCTTTTAGTCAGTTTTCAGGACTCCAGTTTATTAATGACAATACGATGAATCAGAATTTGTTTTGCTACTGATTTGGGCAGTGATTGATTCTAAATTCTGAGAAGTTCTCTGAAAGGAGACTGCCTGCTTCATAAAGTGTTTAAATAAAGTGTGTTTGTATCACCTAAAAAAAAAAAAAAGAAATTCTTCAATAACTGTGGATCTTGAATTTGGACTGTTTAGTATTATTTCATAGCTCTTCTAAGAGGTTATTAGCCATTTAGAATAGAATATTCTAGTTGTTATTGAAACCTTATTTGTTAGATTACTAATTTCCTGCTGCCATCTTCCTCCATTGACAAATATTCCTCTCATTAAGGAAGAGAGTATATCAATTAGTGGGACCTTCTTTTTTTTCATTAGGAGCTTGACTGTATCCTTTTTTTCTTTTCTTTTTTTTTTTTTTTCTTATTGACTGTCTGTATCTTTATGCCATAGTCTATGATTAGAGTTTGGGCAAAATCAAAGTGGTTCCCCCCCTAATTTATTTATCATTAATCTATCATTCCCTGACAACTTAATATGTAAACTTTAGTCTCCCAAGACCAATAATCACAGAATTTCCCAGAGACTTGGAATTGTGACCATTGAGAGTCTCTCTGATTCCTGTGAGGCTTGCTTTTTTTTCTTCCTGCTCTCTGCTGTAGTATATCTGGTATTTGACCTGTGACACCCCCCCACCCAAGAGGGAATGCTTCAACTTTGTACACCTTAAGCAAGGCAAAATCCAGGTAGTATAGCTAAAAAATTGAAGTAACGAAGTTCTCATGGTTCTCCTAAGGAGCGATCAAGTATGGGTAGGCAGATTTCAGGATCTTCTGCTGGCCTGTGACCTTAAGATGATAATTATCATTCTTGTAAATTACCATTTGTAAGAAGATGTTTACAAAGTGCTTTCACATTTTGATTTGCTACTTCAAGTACTGTAAAGTTTAGTGCATTTTGCCATTTGGAAGTGGTAAGATTTCCAAATGTCTGAGATTCAGATAGTTCAGTTTGGTTTAAGAATACTTAGTGAGTTGTTCAAGAATGTTCAGCTAGAAATTGATAGAGTTAGAATTTGAATTCAGGTCTCCTGTTTCCAAGCCCAGGTTCTTCATTATAACATAGTACCTCACTGGCTTGAGTGTTATTATGCCTTGACTGACTAAAATTACTTTTTTAGCAATCCAAATGGGCAAGTTCTCTGTTCAGGGTTTCATCTTTGTAGGTATGTTGAGAAGGTCAATGAAGTGTCTTGTCACCTACGTAGAATATCATCTCTATCCAGGTGGAGCCATCCTCATTCTTCAGTGATACTAGGATTGTGGTAAGGTATACGGATCCATATACATTTTTCTGTGGTTTAATCATAGTGTGCATAGTCCTGATCTTTTCATTCTTGGTTCTTTGTCACTGGCCACATGTTTCACTGTAAAGTGCCAACACTTGTATGCATCCCTTTTGTGCCTACATTATAGAGAACTATAGGAAGTACTTACCAAAGAAATCATTTAATAGTAATGGAACGAGGAATTACCCCGTTGGCTTCTGGCATGAGATGCTTGACTCTTCCCTTTGTCAGACATACTTAAAATTTTATTAGCTATACAGATATTGAACCAGTCCCTTTTTCCTTTTATTAAAATACTGACAGTTGCTCCATGATATCTGAACCTTTTCCTTTTTATTAAAGTACTTCTTAAAGATTTTTAAAAAGTTCATTTATAACAACTATAACGGTAATGGTATTAGTACTTTTGAAGCACTTTTTAGCCTGTAAAGTGCTTTCACACATGTTACCTCATTTGATCCTCATCAGCTCTATGAAACAGAACAATGTATTAAAAAGTATAGAAGATCGTTGAAATATATTGACACATCCATAATTCCCTTCTCCATGCCTAGGGGTAAAAACAGAAATCTGTCTATTCTTTTTTAGCTGTGCTTCTCATACCCTTTCATTCCATACAGGCAGAAATCTTACTGAGTTACCGTCTCATACATTTTCCTGTTTAGATCCTTAAAATATCACCATTACCCATTGAATCAAGTCCAGTTCATCATGTTAGCATCAAAGAGTCTGCAAAATTTGGCCCCAAACTACCTTTCCAGCCTTACCCACCAATTTGTTCATCACCCAACCCAGTCTTCCTTTTCTTTTATTCCATACCTGTTCTGCATGTCTGTGTTTGTGCTATTATACTATGGTAGAACCCTTTCCGTTTTTCCTCTATTACTGTAGTCTGTTCAGTAAGCAGTCCTAGCTCTTCCTTAAGGCCTTTCCCGCAAACTTCAGTCTATTGGATCTCTTATTTTCTTCAACACTATAGTAACAATTATCGGCTATGTTTTAAGTTTATATATTGTATTATGGTGCTTTTCTTTATTATGTTTTAATTATTTCATGTGTACTAACAACATTAACAGCTAAGACTTACATAGTACTTAATTTGCACCAGTACTTACTATGCATCAGACACTATATTATTGTACAAATATTGACTTATTTAATTTTCATAGTAGGTACTACTGAAGTAGGTACTATTCTTAACCTCATTTTGCAGATGAGGAAACTGGAGCAGAGAAGTTAATAACTTAAGATATGGAACCAGGATATAAACCTAGGTACTAACTAGGTCTCAGCACTCAAACTTGTTAAGGGTGAGCCAAAGTTCACCTAGTGCACTTCCCCACAGCACAGAGCATCCGACCATAAAGATGATAATCTAATATCTAGTCAATCAGTATTAGTAGCTTTTAAATTTCTTCGCTTGTTTGACACTTGGACCTCGGTCCAAATAAGGCTGTTGTGAGATGTTTCTTAATATAGCAGGTGTCTATTTTCCCACTAGTTTGATTGGCATATTGCAACAGTTTCCCTATTTTCTGCAGTTCTCATTTTTTTTTTTCAACGTTTTTTTTTTTTATTTTTGGGACAGAGAGAGACAGAGCATGAACGGGGGAGGGGCAGAGAGAGAGGGAGACACAGAATCCGAAACAGGCTCCAGGCTCTGAGCCATCAGCCCAGAGCCCGATGCGGGGCTCGAACCCACGGACTGCGAGATCGTGACCTGGCTGAAGTCGGACGCTTAACCGACTGCGCCACCCAGGCGCCCCTCATTTTTTTTTTAATGTTTATTTATTTTTGAGAGAAAGAGAGACAGAGCACGAGCAGGGGAGGGGCAGAGAGAGAGGGAGACACAGAATCTGAAGAGGCTTCAGGCTCTGAGCTGTCAGCACAGAGCCTGATGTGGGGCTCGAACTCATGAGCCATGAGATCATGGCCTGAGCCAAAGTTGGACACTTAACTGAGCCACCCAGGTGCCCCTGCAGTTCTCATTTTTATAATTAAAGAGTAATATACAATTTTATAATTTATCCTTAAGAAAAAACGTAATTCCTCAGTGTAATCTGATTTAATTTTATAGCTACTGTGATCAGAATATAGTTCAAGTTCTTCCTTTGTAGAGACAGTCTAGTCACTAGATAATACTGCTTTAATTATTTAGAGTGTCTTGGTCCCTTTCAGGTTCATTTGTATTTATAGGTAATTATAGGTAGTTTGTCACATTCTTGAATCACATATTCCTAAAGCTACTAGTACTGCCTCAAAGCACAATGGTTTTGGGGAAACATTATCCCAGTTTTGCAAACAGTTCTGATGCTAAGGATGGTGTTAAAGAAAGTGTACCTGATTAAGCAGCATATCTGTACAAGGGGCTATGAAGAAGGAAAGCTCCCATTCTGTGTTAATAGCTTTCCCTCTCTTTGTGAGCCTTAGCCTTCCTTTAGTTAGGCTTCTTTAAACTTACCCAAATGTAGGTACATTGAGGTCTCATAAAAGGTAGGATTTAAAGCTTTTATAGCAAAAACTTGATTTTTAATACTTAATGTTTTAATATCTCTCTGTGTGTGTGAAATCCAAATCAGATAATAAGGCCAGTGTGTGAGGATTTATTTCAAAGATTACTTGAAAAGCTGCCATGCTCCTCCTTTTGCCCTCCTCGTTTCCACCCCTTCCCTAACAGTAGTATAAAGTGAATTGTGCTCTTCTCTTTGTGAAAGTGGGGTGGAATGTCAATTAATTGGTTCCTAAGCTTAAAATCATGATTCTAAGAAGAGTGAAGAGACACATGGAAAGATGTGCAACATCCCTAATCATCAGGGAAATGCAAATCAAAGCCATAATGAGATGTCACCTTACACCTGTCAGAATGGCTGATATCAAAAAGACAAGAAATAACAAATGTTGACAAGGATGTAGAGAAAAAAGAACTTTCAGTACTGTTGGTGGGAATGTAAATTGGTGTAGCCACTGTGAAAAACAATATGAAAGTTCCTCAAAAAATTAAAAACAGAAATACCACACAATCCAGTAGTTTCACTAATGGTTATTTACGCAAAGAAAACAAAAACACTAATTTAAAAAGATAAATGCACCTCTATGTTTATTGCTGCATTATTTACAATAGCCAAGATACGGAAGCAACCTAAGTATCCATCAATAGATGAATGGATAAAGAAGAAATTATAGATATAGATATAGACATACATATATATGTATATATATATATAGAGAGAGAGAGAGAGAGAGATAATGAATATTACTCAGCCTTAAAAAGAAGAATGAGATCTTGCCATGTACAACAACAGGGATGGACCTACAGGGTATTATGCTAAATGAAATAAGTCAGACAGAAAGATAAGTACCATGTGATTTCACTTATATGTGGAATCTGAAAACCAAAAGAAACAAAACAAAAACAGACCCATAAATACAGAGAACAAACATGGTTGCCAGAGGGGTGGGGTTTGAGGGATGGGCAGAATGAGCAAAGGGGAGTGGGAGGTTCAGGCTTCCATTATGGAATGAGTAAGTCACAGGGGTGAAAGACACAGCATAGGGAATTCAGTCAATGCTAACTGTAACAACACTGTATGGTGACAGATGGCAGCTGCACTTGTGGTGAGCATGGCATAATGTATAGAGTTGTCAAATCACTGTATTGTGCACCTGAAACCTAATGTAGCATTGTATGGTAACTAGAACTCAAAAAAACAAAACAAAACAAAACAAACCAGAGAGAAAGAAAGGAAGAAAAAAGAAAAGGAGAGGAAAGAGAAAAAGAAGAGAGAAGAAACAGTGGTTCAAATATGAAACAAAAGTGATACACAGGCACATGCAAGGTGTGTCAGTAGATGGTGAAAAATAAAATAATGCCAGGCTAAAGGAAGACCAGCGTTCCAAGATGTTCTTATTTTATATAACTGAAAATCAATAAAGGGGTGCCTGGCCGGCTTAGTCAGTAGAGCATGTGACTCTTGATCTTGGGGTCATGAGTTCAAGCTCCACATTGGACATAGAGCTTATCTAAAGAAAGAAAATTAATAAATATATCCATATGGGACTAATATTAAAAATATTCTTCTCCTTCTCTAAAAGGAGTGTATGTGGCGATACATAACCCACAATCAAGGACATGCTCTCATAGTTGGATATATGGATCACTGCATTCCTATTAAGTTCCCATTATGAGGAGCTAGGGCAGGGTAGGCTCTTGTGTGGGAATGATTAACTGGCTAAGAAGAGCAAACCCATTGCCTTCAAACCCTGGACCTAATTGGTTTTACTTTAACTGCTAAAGGCCTTATCCGGTAAAAGTTCTATTTTTCTTAAAATAGGATCATTCTGTTCTTATATGTAATGCATAATAAAACTTCAAATTTTCTCATACAGCAGGCTATATGTAGGAAAGTATAATTGACTACCAAAGACTTAGGATTTGAAATCAGAATTCTAGAAGTTACTTAATCTCTTTGGGCATCAGTTTTCTCCTCTATAGAATGGAGAGGAGGATGAAATGTACATCACAGGGTTACTGTGAAAGTTAACCTATGTACTCTTAACATTGCTACTTCATCTCTCACCCTTTTTGTTTTGTTTGTTTGTTTGTTTGTTTGTTTGAAGTTTATTTATTTAAGTACTCTCTACACTCAACCTGGGGCTTGAACTCACAACCCCAAGATCAAGTCACATGCTCCTCTGACCGGGCCAGCTAGGCACCCCCTCATCTCTCACCTTCTTACCATGCATTGTATGGAAAGCTAAAAGCAGTAACTTGCAGTTCTAGAGAGGCTTTTGCTCTTCCCATCCCCGTCTTCCAACTCTTTCATCTGGTCAGTTCTTGTTCATGCTTTAAGACTCAGCTCAGGCAGGCATCACGTGTTTTCCTTTCTCGGACTTCATTACAACTTTTGGTTCTTCTGTGCCATTTTCATAATCCCAGGTATACCTTATTGCACTTCTTTGCACATTGTATTGTAACTGTTTCCTTTTCAGTCCTCTTCATTAAACTGTTAACTCTTTAAGAGTAGAGACCTTGTATGTTTTGTTCATTTTTTGTGCCTTTGGTCTCAAGCATGGTGCCTGGTATATATAATATTTCTTGATAGATGGATAGAAAGAAAAGAAGAAGGAATAAATGAGCTGGTATATGTGAAAGCATTTTGTAAACTATAAAGTGCTATGCACATATTAGCGAGGTTTTGCATTACATTCCTTAATGTTGTGTTTGTCCATTTTTAGAAGGCCTTGATCCTGCTGATGTAATTCTTACATTTTGGCTATATTGTTACAGTATCCAGGGACAACATCTTATGTTACAGGATTATACTTTCCATGCTCTGTTCCAGCAATTTAATTAATTAGGCTTAACTAGACAGGCTTATTAATATGTAGTTACTACACATTTCTTTATTAAAAATTTATATATCACATCTGGTGGCTCAATAATGTCCATTGCAATTTTTATTGTTTCACATTTACAGTGAAACTGAAACCCCATATACATAATACTAAAGATAGATTGGACTGTTGTATCTTCTTGGAGGCTATACTGAAAATATATATAGTACCCCTAAATTTTGTTAGTACATTAGGAGCTTAGCATTTCATACAAAATTATGTGTGTATTAATGCCTCTCTTCGGGTTTTTTAATGGCAAGGATATTGGATTCCGACTCGACTCACTACATACCATCCTGCAACAGGAAGTCCTGTTACAAGAGGATGTGGAGCTGATTGAGCTACTTGATCCCAGTATCCTGTCTGCAGGGCAACCTCAACAACAGGAAAATGGACACCTTCCAACGCTTTGCTCCCTGGCAACCCCTAATATTTGGTACTGTCCAGAAAACATCTATCCTTTGCTTTCATATACAGTATTAGCAGAGGAAATCCACTATGCTCTCTATTGTAAATTATAAACATTCCATACATTTTAACATTGTAATTAATGATAACCCAGAAGTTTAAAAAAAAAAGTACCTTTCTGGGGCGCCTGGGTGGCGCAGTCGGTTAAGCGTCCGACTTCAGCCAGGTCACGATCTCGCGGTCCGTGAGTTCGAGCCCCGCGTCAGGCTCTGGGCTGATGGCTCAGAGCCTGGAGCCTGTTTCCGATTCTGTGTCTCCCTCTCTCTGCCCCTCCCCCGTTCATGCTCTGTCTCTCTCTGTCCCAAATAAATAAATAAACGTTGAAAAAAAAAATTAAAAAAAAAAAAAGTACCTTTCTAAAATAAATACTATTTAAGGTGAAGCTGGAAAAACATCCAATTATTACATATTTTTAATTCAATCTAATTAGTTCTGTGTTTAATAACCCAACAAGCAGGCATAACATGTGCCCCAAGAATCTCTCTTACCCATACACCTATACACATGTGTGTATGCAGTCATAGCCACTCGCTCTTTTATGTTTCTTTAAAATTAATAGATTATATCATAAACACATTGTAGAGACATCAAAAATAGAATGGGATGTGGAGGTAAACAGTCAATTCTTGCTTTGTTGACTGAGAAGCCATAGGAAATATAGACTGACAATTCAGTCCTAAAACTTTTCTTGAAGTATTTGGGTCTAATACAGAAGTCCCAGGCCATGAATACCAAAAAGGGACTATATATATATATATATAATTTATTTATTTATTTATTTATTTATTTATTTATTTTTATATATATATTTTTTATATATATATATACACACACACGTGTATATACATACATATATGTGTATATACATGATATGTATATATGTGTGTGTATATATATACATACATACATACATATACATATACACACACACACACAGAACTGAACTATTAAAGTATGAGTTTATTAAGTGAACAAAATCATTGCTTGAACTATTCAAGTTGTATAGGTGATTACATAACATTGGCCTCAGTGTTCTGGATGTGTCTTTCTTATAATATTGACAAATGCTTCATACTGTAAGGGATAACAAAGTATGTTTTCCAAATTTGTAGGCACTCAGCATCATGATGGAGTAAAGCATCATCTTATCCTTTACAAATCTAAGAATGCAAGGAGCTGCTAGAAGGAACCAAGGGTTTTAAGAATTTTCTAGCTTTAACTTCTAAGTTTGCTTTAGCCACAGGTGTGATTAAGCAACACTGAGGCCTGTAAATACTTTTAGACTTCATTATTCATGCATGAAAGTATAGGGTAAGATTTTGCTTTATGATGTTACCAATATCACCTGAAAGTAAAGGATTCCAAGGGAAATTAGAACAGGTAAATATTTATTAGGAAGCATTCTTACATGTGACTTTCTTTATAATTTGATTATAACTGTCTTTAAGTATTATTGATGTTTTTTTAGACATCCTAAGAGACATCTCCGTATATTCACCTCTTTCTTATTACATTTTTATCAAAGCCTTCATTGCTTAAAAGACGAATTTTAGTCTATATACTTGTAATTTGCCTAGATTTAAAAAGTTTCATATATACTTTTACTTTAGTTAAAGCAGTGAAAAAGTACAAAGTATGTGCATATTATCAGCTGCAGTATGTGTATTCCAGATTTATGATGATGATTATTAGATAACTTGAAACAATTACTCAAGTACATATTATTTCTGATTGGAAAAATGCTTATATTTTCTTGAGATATTTGTTTCTGTGCAAATAATTAAAATCTGACTTTTGGGAAAAGAACTGATACTATCTTAATATTAAAATGTACTTTAATGTTAAAAATTAGTAACAATTACTTTTACTTTTACATTTGTAAAATTGGATTTTAGGGGCGCCTGGGTGGCTCAGTCGGTTAAGCGTCTGACTTCAGCTCAGGTCACGATCTCGCGGTCCGTGAGTTCGAGCCCCGCGTCCGGCTCTGGGTTGATGGCTCAGAGCCTGGAGCCTGCTTCCGATTCTGTGTCTCCCTCTCTCTCTGCCCCTCCCCCGTTCATGCTCTGTCTCTCTCTGTCTCAAAAATAAATAAACGTTAAAAAAATTTTTTTTTTTAATTGGATTTTAAACTCTGTACTTGGTTTTTAGGTTAGAAGAGTCCATATCTTTTTTTTTTTTTTTTTTTTTTTTTTAGTGTTTATTTTTGAGACAGAGACAGCATGAGTAGGGGAGGGGCAGAGAAAGAGGGAGACAGAATCTGAAGCAGGCCCCAGGCTCTGAGCTGTCAGCACAGAGCCCGACGTGGGGCCTGAACTCATGAACCGCAAGATCATGACCTGAGCAAAGTTGGACACTTTAACCAACTGAGCCACCCAGGCACCCCAGAAGAGTCCCTATCTTTAAACAAAAAGTCATTTCAGAGGACACCTGTTTCTTACGTCCTTTACAAACTTATTAGCTTAGATTTTAATACCTAAGACACCGTTGTTTAGTTGCTAGATTTTTAAAAAACTATTTCACATTACTTATTTAAATGTTATTTTTTAAAGTCATAGTTTACAAAGAAGCTACTAGCATTTTGTCTATTTTGGTAAACCTGAATTATGGACTAAAGTAACACATCCTTCTCTAATCTGATGGGTATCATGTTTCTTGGTTTCTGTGTTATAGGGATGTCTCAGTGCTGTTTGCCTTCATTAGTTTGCTCATTATGCTTCCCACTTGGTGGATTGTATCTTCCTGGCTGATATGGGGAGTGATCCTGTTTGTTTATCTGATTATAAGAGCTTTGAGATTCTGGAGGACAGCCAAACTACAAGTAACTCTAAAAAAATACATTGTCTGTTTAGAAGATACGGCAACAAATAGCCGAGCTTTTACTAACCTTGTGAGAAAAGCTTTACGTCTCATTCAAGAAACTGAAGTCATTTCCAGAGGATTTACACTGTGAGTTCATATTTCATTTTATTTTTTAAATAATTCTTTTCTACTACATAGTTAAATTAGAGTATTTATTACCTATTTTCATTTCTGTGTTGCATTTACAGAAAAAAAGTAAGTTTTTTCTTTAGCACTTATTAAAGTCTGTTAACTGTGAAGGAATGAATACATTATATGCTAGATTTAATATGTAGTATGATTCTGCTTATCTACTTTGAGAAACCAAAGAGCTTAGAGAATCATAATTATTTGTGTTATGTGATTTCTTATGAGTTAATATACAAAAAGAGCCAAATATTGAAGCTGGCATGCAAAATTACCCAACAAATGTTTGTTTCCTTTGTCCCAGACATTCTCTTTCCTCAGTTTAAATGATAGATGTATCTGACTTGAATTCATTTTGAAAAATGTTGCCATGCATTAATAATATTCTTTAGGTAAATGTTAGCAGATATTATGGCACTGATACTCTCAGTATATCAAACAAATATTCACATTCCCACAGGAACTTAAATACTCTCCACTGTAGTCCAGTCTTAATTAAATATTAAGATATAGGATATTTATTCTGTTATTAAAAGGATAGTTAATGTTTATTGAGCACGAATTATGGTCCAAATACTCTGCTAGGTAATTCTGTATACAACTAAAAGCATACAATTACATATGGTAGAACAAACGTTCAAGTCCATTCCATCTGACTCTAGAGCTTGTTTCCAGTTTGCTAGGCTGCCTGCTGAACACTAACAAATGACAGTAGTACTATAGTATGTTTAATCATTTATTTAACTTACATAACCTTTCCAGTCTGTAGGTGGGAGAAAGTAAGTATATGATGAAGAATGATTATTACTCTTAATTACTTATATCTGCCAAATCACGAAAAGGGAGAGCAGAAGAACCTTGGGTAGTAATCTCGTTCTTCACTCTGCTGTGCTCTAGAATAGCACTTAAACTGTCCTGACAGAAAAGCCGTATCTGGAAAATAAAACAGTAAAGCGAAAGAATCTCTAGTAGTCACTCATTCTTTACTCTGTTGTGTTTTAGAACAGTGTTTAAACAATCCCAAAACAGGAGAGAGATTTTGTAACTTTTTTTTTCTGCTTCTTTCAAAATGTAATAGTTCTCCGTGTCTGTTAATATTTGTCCTTCTATTATAAAGTCTATTTGTTGATAGAGCATAACAAATATTAAGTTGTTTGAGCATTAGATTTTAAAAGTTGAAAACAATGCTAAGTAATAGCTCCTTTTCATTCTTGATTTGTACAGTATTTCACTGAGCAGACTGGTTAAGCTAAATGGCTATGTGTCCAACTAATGCTTAGGCACATAAAGAGGATTCTGTGCTTTTTGTCATTTTCCAACTTACATTAAAAATTATGTCTAGAATTGTCACGAAGAGCTAAAATGGGCCAGCTACACATGACTTACATCCGGATTATGATTCCTATCCATTGACATGCAGTCAGGCAAAAGAAATGTTGGAAAAAATTGTTTGACTTGTCTCCATCTAACTGGATAATGGACTGAGAAAAATTACAAGTAACAATAAATCTTGAATCATAACTTTTTTAGAAATATGTTCATCTTTAAAACTGATTTATTAGTAAAATGGAGCGCACACAAGAGTTCCATATATTGAAAACATGTGCTGTGTTGTTCTGCCTTAATTTGTCCTCTCTAGCGAAGAATTTAACCATTCTTTGCCTCATTCCCTTATTTTAAATTAAGCCTATCAGTCATTGTCCTCTGTTGTTGTTGTTTTTTATAGATTTTTAATGTCTGAATACATTATGGTTTGGTTAACATTTTAAAAGTTTTGATTTAGATATCTTGTTTTGCAAATTTGTGGTTATGTTGTAAGAAATTTATAAATTCCAATATTTGTATTGCTATTGGGAGAGGTTACTGGTTAGGTGGAAAAACTATTATCCAATAGCTATGTAATATGAAATCATTCTATATTTCATTTATCAAAGCATGATATATTATACATCATTGTTGCAAATAGGTACTCCCCATTTATCTTTTGGAAAGTACTATGAAATGTGCTTCCTCTTGAATAGTTTGGAGAGTAGCTATGCTACTGCCTAGTAACCCTTCCTTTGCCTTTCTACTTGCATTCCCCTGTTGGCCACTGGTCCTGTTATCTCTCTGCGTCCCCTACTTCATTTTGAGTAGGTAAGTGCCAGTGGCAGCAGGTGGGTAAGTCATTTTACCCTACTTTTATGAATGTACAGAATGTATTTCTATACAGTATTTCATTGTTCTGTACAAGTGACCAAAAATATGAGTGATGAACATATGTAAATGCATATTAAGAATGTAAAAATTTTCATACTTACTGTAGATACAGGTTTTAAAAACTAAATGTAAAGCAGTACCACTTTAGTATATTTTACCAGGTAGAGTGTCTATATCAAAAAGTTGCAATGTCTTACCTAAGTATTCTACATTTCTACCATATTTTGACTACAATATATTGTTTCCCGTATCAGAAGAAGCCTTTACTCTTTGAGATTTTGATTTTTCATTTGTCTTTTTTGGAGGGGGGCTATACATGTATCAGGGAAATGGCTATTTATGAGACCTGAGCTGGGATATTTACAGTCTTTTTCTAATAAAAACCATGAAAAAGGGTTTTTTCTAAGTTGAATAGAATTGGGGATTTAGAAAACAAAAACTTTAGGACACCTGTACAGTTGTATCACATTTTACTTTTCAAGTTTGCTTGACAGGGTCAGTGCTGCTTGCCCATTTAATAAAGCTGGACAGCATCCCAGTCAGCATCTCCTCGGTCTTCGGAAAGCTGTCTACAGAACTGTAAGAGCCAACTTTCAAGCAGCAAGGCTCGCTACCCTATATATGCTGAAAAAATATCCTTTTCTGTCTTCATGTAAGAATAAATATGCTTCCAGAGTCCTGAATGTATAGATAGTATAGCTGCATCCTGTAAAAGTTAAGTGTGAACTGAGATTGCCTATTTTGGAGCTAATTTCCATCATCACTTCTATTTTAAAACTGGAAATGCAGTCTAGGGAGAATAACAATAACAGACAGGAAAAAAGGTTTTCTGTTCTCGTGTGGCTTCAGTTTTAACTGAGGAAAAACTTGAAGGCCCTCCCTCTACTGGTCCAAAGAATAAAGTCAGAAGAACCTGGCTTTGCTAGGTCTGACATTTTTAAGAGTTACTGGACACACAAATTTGCGTCATGACATGGAAATAAACTGGTAACAGGAAATCCTTCCCCTTTGAAGAAACAGAGGCTCTCAAGTCAGATTGGCTAAGTTTAAATTTTGGCTCTATCAATTACTGCCTAGGTGACCTTAAGCAAGTTTCTTAACTTTCTGTACCTTGCGTTATTCATTTTAAAAATGGCAGTAACAACATACTCTTCCTTTGGTTTTGTTGACATCAAATAAGTTAGTGCATATAAAGTGCTTAGACAGTGCCTGGTGTATAATAAACACTCAGACTGCATGACAATAAGTCAGTCACTTACATTTACTAAATCAGGAAATTAGTTCTGTTAATCAGTAAATAAAGGTGTGTAGGATCTTTATTTCAGTTAAGATTCATAGATAAGTTAAATTGTGAGTAAATAGAGTACAAAAATACTTCTTTGTACCTTCAGTATTTGGGGTACTGTAGCATGGATAAATATGCTTTAACGTTTACAGAGTGCTTTATTATGTCTTTGTATATACCTTTCCAGCTAGATCTTATCTCCATTTTATGAAAAAACTAAATAAAATCTCCATTTTGTGTGATTTGCTTGGTGTTACACGACTAGTGAGAGGTGAAGTTGTGTCTTAATAGGACTTATTAAGTGTCCTTAATAGGACTTAAGTCATAAGTCCTATAGGTCTTATGACTTAAAACCTTTTCTATATGTGTGTGTGTGTGTGTATATATATACTCTTTTAACTGTATGACTTCTTTGGAAATTAAAAGCATTTTATTTTTAGTCATGAACTTGTCCATTCAATTCCCATGCTGCCTGAATACCCATCTGCTATGTGCTAGACTTTTGAGTATACTCAATAGATTAACTGGAATTCATAATACACTAGAAGTGCCCAGGGTACCTTCCAACATAGTAGGACAATTACTTGGCCTAAGGGGTCAGAGAATGCTTTCAAGGAGTTAACTTTGAGGATAATAAAAGTCTGCATTCAAGTATAATGAAGCAAAGATAGGGGAAAAAAATAGGGGTATGGTAGTATGGCATGTGAACTTCAAGTAGTTACTCATTCAGCAAGTATTGAGAATAAACTCGGTGCCAAGCAATATGCTAGTCACTAGATATATGATGGTTCACGTAATAGACACGGTCCCTGCCTCAGAATACTTCTAGCTTGACAAACAAGATCATTGTACTCATGACTCTTACCTTCTTGTGGTTGAGGTAATGAATAAAAAAGTGAGATTTTCACATATCTGTTGTATAAAAACCCAGCAGAATAGGATAGAGTGATTGGTGAGTTACTGCTTTTGATTGGATGATAGGGGAAGGCCTTCCCAAAGAGTTGACATTTTTTTTTTATTTTTTTTTTTTTAATTTTTTTTTTCCAACGTTTATTTATTTTTGGGACAGAGAGAGACAGAGCATGAACGGGCGAGGGGCAGAGAGAGAGGGAGACACAGAATCGGAAACAGGCTCCAGGCTCTGAGCCCTCAGCCCAGAGCCCGACGCGGGGCTCGAACTCACGGACCGCGAGATCGTGACCTGGCTGAAGTCGGGCGCTTAACTGACTGTGCCACCCAGGCGCCCCAGGAGTTGACATTTAAAATGAGATTTATGGGGTGCCTGGGTGGCTCAGTCGGTTAAGTGTCTGACTCTTAATTTCGGCTCAGGTCATGATCTCACAGTTTTATGGGTTCGAGCCCCACATCAGGCTCTGCGCTGACCATGCAGAGCCTACTTGGGATTCTCTGTCTCCCTCTCTCTCTGCCCCTCCCCCACCCACTCTGTCTCTGTCTGTCTCAAAATAAATAAACACAAAAAAATTAAAATAAATAAATAAAATAAAATGAGATTGTAATGAGGAGAAAGATCATGTTCCAGTTTGACGGACCAGTGAGTATAAAGATCTTGTGACAGGAGTTATTTTAGCAGGACTGGAGGACAGCAAAAAGGCCATCATGTCTGGAGCACAGTAAATTGGGAGTTGGGGCATTAGGTGACATTCAGAGGTAGGCAGGAACCAGAACATATTTACCACACAAGAAACCTTAAGGAATCAAAATAAAAAAGAATCCACCAACTATTTCTTCAAAAAGACCAAACAGTATAAACCCTCACATGTCTGGTCAAAGTAAAAAGAGTACAAATATACAAAATTAGTAACAGAGCTATAACCATAGATATGGAAGAAATTAAAATAACTATAAGGAGATTGTATATACAACTTTGTGGCAGCAACTTTTAAAAAAGAAAACACCTGGGAGCACCTGGGTGGCTCAGTGGGTTAAGTTTGACTTCAGCTCAGGTCATGATCTTATGGTTCATGAGTTTGAGCCCCACATGGTGCTCTCTGCTGTCAGCACAGAGCCCACTTCAGATCCTCTGTCCCCCTCGCTCTCTGCCCCTCCCCCATGCATTCTCTCTCTCCCTGTCTCTCTCTTTCTCTCTCTCAAATAAACTTACTAAGAAAGAAAGAAGGAAAACACCTGATTTTATGTAAACAATGGAAAATTTGCAGGTATAGAAAAGTGATAAAGTTCTTGATGCACTACTATGGAATGATATCCAAATTGTTGAAAAAAAGAATGAAGTGCACAGCATTGTTCATGCTACCCTTCGATTACGCGTAAAAGTGTGTGTGTATACACACATACACATATATATGAGACTGTTTGTATATATGGGAGATTATAAATACATATGAGGGAATATGTGTATGTGTATATATCCACATACATATTTATATTTGGATTTGCTTTTATGCATGCATAAAGTATCTTGAAAGGTGCACAAGAAGGGGCACCTAGGTATCTCAGCTGGTTAAGTGTCCAACTCTTGGTTTCGGCTCAGATCATGATCTTGTGGTTTGCGAGGTCAAGCCCAGCATCCAGTTCCACGCTGACAGTACAGAGCCCTCTTGGGATTCTCTGTCTCCCCTCTCTCTTTCTGCTCCTCCCCTGCTCGTGCTCTCTTTCGCTCTCTTTCGCTCTCTCTCTCTCTCTCAAAATAAACTTAAAAAAAAAAGAGAGACACACAGGTTATCTTGAGAGATACTAATCACAGTTATCGTCTGTGCCTTTAGCTAGGGGAATGAGGTAGCTAAGGGACAGGGGTAGGAAGCAGTTTTTACGGTGCCCCTTAATACCTTATGAATTTTTTTATACCTTATGAATTTTCAATCCTGTGAATATATTACATGTTTAAAAATTAAATGAATAAAGGAAATTTTAACTACCAGGTTCAGATGGTTTTATAGTTTTTTTAAAAAACTATTTCAGACCATAGGAAAGGTTAGGAAGCCTCTACTACCTCATTTTATTTATGAAGATTCTGTAATTGCAATACCAAAACATGTATTATAAAGAATAAAAAACTAGACCAATCTCACAGATGGAGATACAAAATATTTAAGTGAAATATTTATATATTTGCGATAGCACTATATTAAGATATTATATGATCAAATAAGAGTATGCTGGAAATATAAAAATAGTTCAGTATTAGGAATTGTATGGATATATTCTTTTTTTTTTTATTTTTTTTTAATGTTTATTTATTTTTGAGACAGAGAGAGACAGAGCATGAACAGGGGAGGGGCAGAGAGAGAGGGAGACACAGAATCTGAAATGGGCTCCAGGCTCTGAGCTGTCAGCACAGAGCCCGACGCAGGGCTCGAATTCACAGACCGTGAGATCATGACCTGAGCCGAAGTCGGACGCTTAACCGACTGAGCCACCCAGGCACCCCAAGGAATTGTATGGATATATTCTTTATAAAAACTGTTGAAGGCGGAAAAAATCACATATTAAGCTGATAGATACCCATGAGAAAGAGGAAACAGGCCAGTAGTCTGAGTGGGACAACCTAGATAGAACAGGCTTAGTGCTAATGGTGTTCTGCAGCCTGTGCACTGGGAAGAAGAGAAAAGTATGTACTGTAGTGTAGAAAGGGCCTGAGCCACGATACAGCGAAGTACACAATACAGTTTCCAAAGGTACTTGTCAAAAATAACTAAGTTAGCATGTTAGCACTTGTAAAGAGTTGAACTTTTAACTGTTTAGAGATGAAGGTATTTTATTCACATGTATACTAGTAGTAAGATACCTGAGGTTTGTTAATATAGTAGATTTTAAGATTGGTTTCTTTTTTTTTTAATGGATATTAATCACCTCCAGTCAAAGTTCAGAATAAGATGAGTAAAGGTAATTTGGGATGATATGACTGTACCCTTTATACTTTAAATGAAAAGGCCTTAACTTAATTTAACCTACCCCCTGAACTCTGAGAGTGACAATGTAACCAACTACATCTGTGTGGTGCCTTTTAAGGAGCTGGGCCTGGGCCTTAGTGAAGAGCAGATTTCAGAAGAGGAAGCACATGACCTTACAGATGGCTTCAGCCTTCCTGCTTTGAAGGTACTCTGCCTGTGGAAAGGGCTGAAGAAAAGATAGTTGCACTCCGATTGTGCCTGTGCTATCTGAATGTAAATGGGACACCGGTCCCTTGCTGAACCGTCATCATAATAGCCTTCCTGATGTATGTGATGCTGTCTTTAAAAGTTGAGAGCATCATAAAGATTGAATGAGGAGATCCTTATATTCTGATATCAAAATACTTAAAATTCTTACTGTAAGCATATCTTGCCTTAAATCAGAGTTTATAGATAGTAAGTTTACATTAATAGAAAACCAGCATGAGTGACTTTATGACTACTTGTTTTAACAAACATGGGTAAACAGCATATAAGATCTGTATCTTCCCTTGGAAAATCTACATAAAAGGATATATTTGACTATATAAGAATTAAGCTTCTAAATGAAAAAAATTGCAATGATTTTTAACAAAGGTAGATGGAATTCTTTCTATATAAAGAGCACTAAGTTATGTTAAATCTAGACAAGATAGGTGGTGCATGAACTGGTTTCACAAAGGAAGAACTAGAAGTGGCCAATTCAGTTTCAGAGTGTCTGGATGGCTCAGTCAGTTGGGCGTCTGACTCTTGACTTTGGCTCAGGTCGTGACCGTAGGGTTGCGGGATTTGAGCCCTGTGTCAGGCTCTGCGCTGAGCATGGAGCCTGCTTAAGATTCTCTCTTCTCCCTCTGCCCCTCTCCGCCACTCATACATGCTCTTGCTCGCTCACTCACTCGCTCTCTCTAAAAAAAAAAAAAAAGCCAATTCAATCTCGTTAGTAATAAGTAGACATTTTGCCAAGGTTATTGAAAGTTGATAATATTCATTATCTGTGAAGATCAGTAGTCACACACTATTAATAAAAGTATAGATTGGCTCACTTTAGCAGTTAATAAATACCAATCTTCGGAAAGATACTGTATTCTTCAGTAATCTTAAGCTTAAAGATAAGTAATCAGAATATACTCGAAATATGTCCATGATATTACTACAACAGCAAATATTGGAAACAAATTAAAAGCTAAGTAACAGGAGATTGGTAAATTCCTTGGGATTAGTAGTCGAAAAATTGTATGATGGAAGAAACAAAATAAAGCAAGTTAGAAAAACAGTGTGTGTGGTAAGATTTCAGTAGTAATTTTATTTTTATTTTTGGCTTTTTGAGAGAGGGATAAAGAGGGCACAAGTGAGCAAGGGGCAGAGAAAAGCGGCAGAGAGAATCCCACAAGGGGCAGGGAGAGAGAAAGAGAAGTGAGGCTCACCTGAAGCGGGGCTTGAGCTCACCCAGTGCAGGCTTCAAACTCAGAAACTGAGATTAATACCTGAGCTGAAGTCAGACGCTTAACCGGCTGAGGTACCCATGCACTCCTATGTTATTTCTTACCTATTTTCTAAGCCAAAATAATGGTATAATTTTGAATCCTAAACTCTGGATGTATCACTGACTCATTTCTTTGGACTTCTACAGGTCCATTATTCCTACTGTCTTCTTTCCTACTTTGTGTCAAATTTGTAAATAATTCATCAAGGAATATTCATTTACAATAGATGTATCTCATTATCAACACTACTTTTCTGGGTTAGAACTGTTCTAAAATATATACTGGTATTACATGCTATATTGGTATTAGAAGTTCCCACATGCCATGACTACATAATTTGATCAAACATTCTCAGCCAGTCTTGAGGGTTAGTTCAAGCTCAGCCGTCTGTATTCATTACTTAGGATAAAGTGAGAAATTTAACCAGAAGTTAAGATAAACAAATTATTGGTTTGTTTTGAATTTTGATCAGTTTTTTTTATTGATGTAGTCCCGTTTTCTTTCTAGGTTTTGTTTCAACTCTGGGTGGCACAGAGTTCAGAGTTCTTCAGACGGTTAGCCCTATTACTTTCTACAGCTAATTCACCTCCTGGGCCCTTACTTACTCCAGCACTTTTGCCTCATTGTATTTTATCTGATGTGACTCAAGGTCTACCTCATGCTCATTCTGCCTGTTTGGAAGAGCTTAAACGCAGCTATGAGTTTTATCGGTACTTTGAAACTCAGCACCAGTCAGTACCACAGCGTTTATCCAAGACTCAGCAGAAGTCAAGAGAACTGAATAACATTCACACAGCAGTACGCAGCTTTCAGCTCCATCTGAAGGCATTGCTGAATGAGTAAGTTTAGAAGCCAAATAAGAAAATGTCCCCATGTTCAGCAAGCTTCATTCTCCTGCCATTGAGATGATTGGCTTGTGTCCTAACTGGAAGGTAGCAGCAAAATTAAGACATGTAGCATGAAGGATAGTTCATAGCTATGAATGTAGCAGAGAAAGAATGATTTGGGGAGTCATTTGTAGTTTTCACTTTGTCTGATTTCAGCCCAGAACTTAGAAACATAGGACAAAAGCAGGTGTTCATTCTGTTTGAGAGCTGAAATGGAGATGTTTATGAATACTGAGCTTGTTTTAACTCTTTTTAAGTGGGGCTCTTTTTTTTTTTTTTTTCAACGTGTATTTATTTTTGGGACAGAGAGAGACAGAGCATGAATGGGGGAGGGGCAGAGAGAGAGGGAGACACAGAATCGGAAACAGGCTCCAGGCTCTGAGCCATCAGCCCAGAGCCTGACGCGGGGCTCGAACTCACAGACCGCGAGATGGTGACCTGGCTGAAGTCGGACGCTTAACCGACTGCGCCACCCAGGCGCCCTAAGTGGGGCTCTTAAACTGGAGCCTGCGGTCTAAGAAAAGTATCTGCCAGCACTGGAACAGTAAGTTTTAAGAGGTATTGTTATATATAGTTGAAGAATAACATATTGCAATTTTTAAAAATAAAGCATATTTGGACATTTTCTACATCAGAGGACCAACTTTTTTGGCCCCAGTTGAATAGTAAAGTGCAGGGTCCATAGTTTATATTTGTTTATCTTCTACTTTGTCTGGTATTATTGGTACTCTGCCTTGGTCAAATGTAGGATCCAGTCACTCCAGTGAAATTTTTCTGTAACGGATACTTGCAGTATAGGGCTAGATCAGATGGATGGTTGGGTTCATGTTGTGTTGGTAATCAGGAAGGTCATAGGAACTTAATGAGTTGATGAGATTGTAGTTGATGTACTCAACCCTGGATACCAGGCAAGAAGTAGAAGGGGAGGGCAGGAGTCCGTTTTGTAAGATCAAAATAGAACAAAACAAGTCAAAAGCATTTGAAGTCTCAGTAAAATCAAAGGGCTAGTTCACTGGAGTGAGGAAGGATATGATGAATAAAAATAGGAAATTAAGGTGAGAAAAACATTTTGAGAAGGTAAGTTTTTACCCATCTGTTTACTGTCTGAGCTGGTCTCTAGCTGCTATTCTAAGAAAGCAGATGAATGAATGCTAACCTGACAGTCTTATCTCCCACAGGGAGTATGGGAGACAAGGCAATCTCTACTTGAGTGGGCAACAAAGGTTGGGCCTTTGTCAGGAAAAAAATTTCAGTGGAAAGGTTATATTGGGCAAAGCTAGAGTCTCTAAAGAATTAATTTTTGGCAGTAGAATCAGAACTACACAAGACATAATGGAATGCATTAGAGTGAGGGAGGATGGCTCAGGGAAGAAAGGCCACACTGGATGGACATGAACAAGAGGGGCTTTGTGCCTCGGGCAGAGATTGTGGATTATGCACGGGAAGGATGTCTCCAGCTTAAAAATGAAATATTCTATATATGCTACTATACGTCACCTTTCAAACAGTATACCGGTCACAAACCATCATCTCTGATTTGCTCTATAGCACAGCTACACAAAATTTTTTAGAAGTGTTGTCTGAACACTTCCAAAAACATTTGTTTTGTGTTTCACTCCTCCTCCTCACTTGTCCCCATTGCTTTTCCCAGTTGCTGATACTAGGGCATTAACCCTTTAACTGTTCTCCCTGCCTCCAGAGAGCTCCCTGCCAGATTAATGTTTCTGAGGCATATATTTGCTTTCTCCCTTAAACATCTTCACTGGTTACAGAGTACAAGCAGTAGAGACTGAAGTCTGTGTAAAACATTCTATTGAAAGAATTTGCTATAACTCTATTATAGTCTGTTTTTCAGTCCTTCTCATTCTTTTCCTTCAGTCCAAACAAACTGCATAAATGCCTTTTCCCATATACCATTTAGAATGAACTTTTTCATCTTTTGTACATGTTCACATTTTATCCATCCTTCAATGCTTCCTCAAAAGTACCTTTTCCTTAGCTGTTCCCTGTCTGTACCCATAGCTGGTAGCACCTTCCCCCTCTTCTGAATTCTTATAACACTATCTTTCTGTGGTATTATACTTTGGGGCTTAGCTTCAGCCCATATTTACAGCTAACAGCTGTATAACTCTGGGCAAGTTTCTTTAACTCTCTGGACCGAATTCCTCATCTGTAAAATGGAAATAAAATGTTAGTTATAACTTTTTATGATATTGTATTATATTTCTCTATAATGCATAATTTCCCTGATTTAGCTATTTTTCCTATTAAGTATGAAATGAGGTTAATTTATCATTTCAGCTCATAAAATGCCTCATATATGTAAAATAAATATTGTTGAATAAATAGGTGATACTCTTTATAAGCTTTTTACAACATTATAATAAAATACACGTAACATGAAATGTATTATTTAATCATTTTTAAGTGTACAATTTAGTGGCCTAAAAAAGTAAACATACATTGTTATGCAACCATCACCACTTTCCGTCTCCAGAACTTCATCTTTTAAGCTTATTTCTTAAATAAGTCCTGTGAGTTATAAATTTTCCACTTAATATTTTAGAAATCAGTTTCTGTTTTTCTTTATTACTCAGGGTAATAATTCTTGAAGATGAACTTGAAAAGCTTGTTTGTACTAAAGAAACACAAGAACTAGTATCAGAATCTTATCAAATCCTAGAACAGAAGTTGAAGTTGATTCAGCCCCATGTTCAGGCGAGCAACAATTGCTGGGAAGAGGCCATTTCTCAAGTGGACCGACTGCTCCGAAGAAACACAGATAGGAAAGGTACCAATGAGTGCTTCCTTTCATACACACTTGTCAGACATGCTTACTCCACTCCAGTAGGGTTTTATTAGGTAGATTTCTCATCTCCACGATGAAAGCGACATGACAAAACTTAATTTACTAAAAGAAAGTTGAACTTATACATACAAACTGACACTGAATATATAGTCTGGCTCTTACTTTGTAAACAGTAAGTGAATATGTTTTGAAAGTTCTCTGAATCGTAAACCTCCTTTTCAAAAACTTCAGTGAGGGGCACCTGGGTGGCTCAGTTGGTTAAGTGTCTGACTTTGGCTCAGGTCATGATCTTGCGGTCCGTGAGTTTGAGCCCCGCATTGGCTCAGTGCTGACGAGCCTGCTTCAGATTCTGTGTCTCCCTCTCTCTTTGTGCCTTCCCCACTTGTGCTCTGTCTCTCTCTCTCTCTCAAACATAAATAAACATTAAAAATAATAATAATGAACTTAAATGAAGGGATAGATTTTAATAGGTAGTATTCCATAATTAGAACTTTTAGAAACTCTTTTCCCATTAGTGTAATAATGAGTTTGATAGTTAGGGGCCAGAAGTTGAATCTTGCTTTTAGGATAAAATACTTCAGCCATTCATAAATGATAAATAAATGCTATAATAGGTGGCACTGCATACTTGTTATTAAGAGTCTAAAATGTATTAAATGCCATTATTTAATGGTAACATTGGAATGCTTTGTATTGCTATGCGAATGGGCAATCTTGAAATTTTATGCAAAACTGCTTTAATTTGACCCATTTTTACTAATCACTAATTCATTGTAAATATTTGGCATATTAATTTCTGAACTTGTGCTACCAAACAATACCATGTTTATCCCTTGGACCTTTATGATAAAGTTAATCAGATTTATGTATAGAAATTGTATTGCTGGCAAAGATGATTAATGCTTTATCATCCTGTTAGTCATTTTTTGTTTCCAGCTAGATCTGTAATACTTCAATGTCTTTAAGAAGCTGGATAAGTCTTTACATAGGGAAAGTATTAACTTTATTCAAAGGAAATGTTAACATGCTAATTACTGATACATCACCAATAGATTTCCTTTATATCTAAAATGTAATTGGCAAGTAATTTTTTTCTTCAAAGGGTAAATTTGCCAAGGATTTTTAATATGTGCAAATATTTATGCATGTTAAACTTTCTGATGTGACTTAAGTCTAGAGCTTTTGAGTACATTTTCTTCAAATGGAAACATTCAGAACACCACTGGGTATTAAAAGATACATCCCATTCATCCCTCCCCTTAGCATACTCTGAGATGCTGAATCTTAGTCACTTAAACATAATTGTCAAAACTATCTCCAAATCATCGGGCTGGTGATAAGTCATTATGTTCTCCATATGTGGCTTTTGCTTATAGGTGATAGTGATAAGAATTAAGATACAAGTCATTTTCAAACTTTTCTCCGTAAAACACTTATAGTGGCCATGGCTATACAACTTTGAATAAAATATTTATATGATATTTTTTAAGAAGCAGGTGGTTTATTTAGCTGTTAGCTGGTTTTTTTTAATGTTCATTTGTTTATTTTGAGAGAGAGAGTGCTCACACATGCATGCTCATGCAAGCGAGGGAAGGGCAGAGAGAAAGAGAGAATCCCAAGGAGGCCCCTGCAGAGCCCACCACAGGGCTCAAACTCACAAACCGTGAGATCATGACCTGAGCCAAAATCAAGAGTTGGATGCTCAACCACCTGAGCCACCCAGGTGCCCTAGCTGTTAGCTCTTTTTTAAGTTATTTTAAAACTACAGAGGTATCACCATAGCTCACGGTACCCTTCATCCATATTCCTCAGTTGTTGACATTCTACCATATTGGCCTTACCTCCTTATGTATCCATGTATAAATTCTTTTGGTAGTATTTTTTTTTTTAATGTTTATTTATTTTTGAGAGAGAGTGAGCATGAGCAGGGAGGGGCAGAGAGAGAGGGAGACCCAGAATCTGAAGCAGGCTCCAGGCTCTGAGCTGTCAGCACAGAGCCTGACATGGGGCTCAAACTCACAAACTGCGAGATCATGACCTGAGCTGAAGTTGGACGCTCGACTGACTGAGCCACCCAGGTGCCCCTCTTTTGGTAGTATTATTCTGAACCATTTGAGAGTAAGATGCAGACATGAGACCACATTACCCCTAAATTTTCTGTTTGCATTTTTGAAAAATGGACTTTCTCCTACATACCCACAATATACCACCAAAATGAAGACATGAGCACTGATATAAATTGCTTTCTAATCCACAGATCCCATTCTAATTTCACTGATTGATACAATAGTAATGCTATATGTCCAGATTACACATGGCATTTAGCTTTTATGCTCTTCATTCACTTTAGCTTTTCTTGTCTTTCATGATAAGTATTTTATTAAAAAAAAATATCCTGAGGTTATATAAATATCCTTTCTTCACCAAATATTTAGTCACTATTAAGCATATACAATCTATATGATGCACTAGTATTCCAGATATTTACTCACAAGATATAAAAATTTAATGTTCACATGAAAATCTATAAACAAATGTTTTAATGGCTTTATTCATAATCACTAAAAACTAGAAGCAGACCAAGTGTCCTTCAGCTGGTGAATAGATAAACTGTTCTATCCATCCACACAATGGAATAGTGCTCAGCAAAAAAAGAAGAAATGAACTACTGATACATCATTAAGACGGAGGAATCACTAATGCGTTGTGTTAATCACTACATAGTCTATGATCCCATTTAAATGACATTCTTAAAACAGTAAAATTTCATGGGAACAGCAAACATACCAATGGTTATTGGGAGTTGGATATGGAGAGATGAATAACATAAGAAATGTTTTGAGGTGAAGGAACTGTTCTCTATCTTAGTTGTGGTGATAGTGGTTATATGACTCTAATTTGTCTAAACTCATAAAATTATATACCAACAAGAGTGAATTTTATTGAGTAAAAGAAAATAGCTTAAATGTTTTCCCCCCACTAGTTTTAGCATCCATTTGTGGATCTTGCTTGAATTAGATATTATTGTGATGGTTGCCAGATGGTAATTTTCTAATTCCATTTTTCCTTTTATACTTACTAGTTGGCATTCTATTGTGAGCCAAAGCATCCCCCTTTTCTGCTTATTTATATCAATATGGATGTATGGATTCTTATTTTATTCTGTGGATCATAATTTGTTATTTTGTTGCTCAAATTGTACAAAGTTTGACCAGAGGGAACCCATTTAAGGTTTGTGTCATTTTTTGATCATTTTTTGATCACTTCTTTATACTTTACTTGCCCCTAGCCCTAAGGGGTGCCCCTTGTGGGTGCTAAGTATGCTCATAGCCACTGGGATGTTCTTGTTTTTACCAATTTTCAGTGTAGAGGACAGTGAAATATATCTGTGTATATACTTATACATACATATTCCTACATCTGTCCATATATGTTATAAACCATGGGTTCACATCGATACCTCCAAATAGTTCCATGGTTCTTCCTGTACTTCTCCCTCTGTATATTTGTACCACCATGAGAAACTTGGCTCTCATTATCTTCGGTATTAACTTACTTATTCAATGCCTTGTATGTAAGCAATCACCTGATAATATGGACTGTCTCCTAAGCCACATTGCTGCTGACTCACACCTAGTGAGAGTCCTTCCCATCCTATCTCATTCCAGTCCAGCTTGCTTTGTCCACACTAGCCCTTGACAGCCAGGAGTCTCCCCTAACTCTGGTCCCAACCAGTTATCTGTCATTACTTTTAAAAGGTAGAAATCTAGATGTCTAAAGCCTAATTCTTTTTTAAGTTTATTTATTTTGAGAGAGAGAGAGAGGGACTGAGTGAGCAAGCATGGGCAGGGCCAGAGAGAGAGAGGGAGAGAGAATCCCAAGCAGGCCTTGCACTGTCAGCACAGAGCCGAAGTCTCACGAACCGTGAGGTAATACCTAAGCCAAAACCAAGAGTCGGACACTCAATTGACTGAACCACTTACGCACCCCTAAAGCCTACTTCTTTTTAATGTTTATTTATTTATTTTGAGAGAGAATGAGTGAGCAGGGGAGGGGCAGAGAGAGAGAGAGGGAGACAATCCCAAGCAGGCTCCACACTGTCAGCGTAGAGCCCAACACAGGGCTCTAACTCACAAACAGATCATGACCTGAGCCAAAACCAAGAGTCAGATGCTTAACCAGCTGAGCCACCCAGGTGCCCAAGCCTACTTCTTTTTAAGTAGAGAGATAATGTTGGAAGGTAGAGAGCTAGATATGAGAATATGAGAACCCCATGGTTAGATACCAAATACCAATGTTAAGTAATTAAAGTTAACACCTGGGTGATCTTTTCAAGCTATGACTTGTGAAACCCATTTCCAAGTCTAACTTCTGAGAGTAAAAATAATATAAGGGAAATGTAAGATTGAAGCTTATTTTTTGTGGGGAAGAGTGATGGTCTCTCTTGAGATTTCCCATGCTATGAACAAAAGTTGATTTGTTTAGCGAGGATTTAGAGAGGAAGTACCTGTTGTGAACCAGATACTATGGTGAGGTGAAGAAGGGAGAGGAAAACAAGTTTCTCCTCTGAGGGTTTAACTTACATTGTAAATCTACCGCTATTACCATTGTTAACTTTAACATCCTTAATTTTTTTTATAAATTGAAAGTTATAATTAGAATGCCAGACTATGAAATTGGCAAAATATTAGTACTAAAAATGTTTTTTAATTCGATGTTCACTCATTTCTGTGTGGCCTATTGCTTTTTAAGGCAAGCCTGAAACGGTGTGTGAAAACCCACGTTGTACTGTGGTACCTTTGACGCAGCCAACTCTACACATCGCGGACAAAGATCCAATCCCGGAGGAGCAGGTAATGGTGATAATTGCTGTTTTCTTCCCCCTAAAGAAGAGTTTCCCATACAGAGTTTACCTATCTATCTCTGTAAGTGGTGTGGATCATTACTGACTAAGTTGTTAAATTTATGTTTGTAATGAGCTTCAAAATTACCACACAATATATTGAACTGATAACAAATCATTAATTCTTAGTACCTTGAGTTTGAATCCACTGAATCTACCAGCAAATTTTTATAAAGATTTTTTTCTTTAATATTTTATTTATTTTTGACAAAGAGGGGTAGGGGAGAGAGAGACAGAGAGAGAGAGAATGAATGAATGAATGAGTGGAGGAGGGGCAGAGAGAGAAAAGGGGACAGAGGATCCCACGCAGGCCCTGTGCTGACAGCACCAAACCTGATGCGGGGCTTGAGCTCACAAATGGTGAGACCATGACCTGAGCCAAAGTCAGACTTTCAGCCAACTGAGCCACCCAGGTGCCCCTACCAGCAAGTCTTCATGTTATTTGTATCTTACTGTCTATTTCTTAGACACTTAAAAGTGATTAAATACCTTAAAAATTAATGCATTGGCAAAGGTGCCTTCTACAATACTGGAAATGTGAGTGGTGGTTACCAGACTGTATACATATGTAAAAATCCTGTACACTTAAGATTTGTGTATTTGGCAGCATGTATGTTATACCTCGCTTAAAAAAACCAATTTTTCAATGATTTCTTTCGATACTGACAAAGATTTCTTTTGTTTATCCTAAGGAAAACTTTTTTTCCTTCAGTCATATTGTCTACTCAGCATTCTTAATTGCAAAGGGAGACCAATCTGTTTAACAAACAAGAAATTTGTTTAAAAAACCAGGAGGTGACCGACAGAATATCTCTGAGGGCCTCATAGTTACGTTTGAACTAGGATGGGGTAAACAGCCCAATTTACTCAAAAGAACTGTTCCAGTTCCAGCAACATCATTGCCCAGTCACTGGTTGCAGACATTGTCACTCGCTCCATCATTGCTGAATAATAAAAACTACCTTCAGAACCTCTACCTCTGGAAACTTGATCTGCCACCATTCTTGCCAGAGTGGATTCCTTAAAACGCCTGCTTCCCTTGTAACAAACTTCTGGGTCCGATCTGATCTATATACATATGATTAGAGGATCCCGAGTCATTTGCCTGAATCATAACTGCAAGGGAGGCTGGGTAAGCAAGGGGCCTCGTCTGTGTCTTAGTGATAAGAAGAACCATAAGATGAGGTATTCCCCAATTCTAGGAATAGTGTTCAAACCTCCTGGGAAGTCAGAAAGAACCACAAATACAGCCACAAGAAGGCTAATATACCTGACCACTTCCCCAAACCACCAGCCCTTCTAATTTTGATTTGTTTTGGCAGAGCTAATAACTATAATATTAACTAGATCTACAGGATGGTATCAGAGCAGAAAAATAATGATTGAAGTTATTAAACTTTCTTATCCACGGTCCCTTTCATTATCAACTGCTAAGTTTTTTTAAGACTTCAGTTTACCTATAATAATATGTTTGCTTTGTTTGCCCACCTTTGCTTTAGTGACCTGTGCCAAGAGTCTTCATTGTTTAATCTTGGAGATGGGTAGGTACAAGGTAATGAATGCTACTAGAAAATTGTCTGCTTGAAGTAAAGTGCTTTTTCTTTATTCATTTTCAGGAATTAGAAGCTTATGTAGACGATATAGATATGGACAGTGATTTCAGAAAGGATGATTTTTATTACTTGTCTCAAGAAGACAGAGACAGACAGAAGCGTGAGCATGAAGAATCCAAGAGGGTACTCCAAGAACTAAAATCTGTGCTGGGATTTAAAGCATCGGAGGCAGAAAGGCAGAAGTGGAAGCAACTTCTATTTAGTGATCACGGTAAGCACTGACTTCAGAGTAAAAGGTTATTTTAATGAAGGGGACTCTTTTTTCTTGAACTACGACTTTTATTTTAGCTGTAATTCTTACAGCTGTAATTTTAGGGATCTCTCAGCAAGTATAGTGCTTTTTCTTCTAGACACAAAATCAATATGATCAATAAAAGACTAAAGACTAGGTATATAATCAAATTGGGAATATGAAATCAGGCTTTTTCATCAGTAACTTGATGTTTTACTAAATTATTTTGGAATGGCAGTGAGTTGAATAAATATGTTTTCAAATTTAGTGAATTTGAGATTCTAAACTCTTCTCTTTATGTGGATACTATCAATACTTCAGTGAAGCATCAGATTAGTGAATTTGAGATTCTAAACTCTGTTCTCTTTAGGTTGATGTTATAAATACCTCAATGAAGCATCAAATTAGTAACTCCACATTCATCATTGAAACAAGTGGATTAAGACCTAGGCCAGTTAGCTACATCATTAAGGCTTCTCAGTTGGTTTGAACACGTTAAGTAGATGGAACAAGAGGAGGTGCTTCTGTGCAAGCTGTCTCCGTACTTCAATATTGACAAAATTGGATGATTTGACAATACTGACGATTGGCATTAAACTCCTTTATGTTTGCCACTCTTTTCTTTGGTTGGACTTCATGCGAGGTGAGGGAAGGAATGAGGGTATCTTGACAGTATCAGACTAGCTAATTTCTAATTGAGGAATTAACTTCTGTAGATTTCCAAGAGGTAGAGTGCGATTCCTCTTCCAGTTTAGAGTACTTACCTGAAACCTCAAAATCAACTGCCTTCCTTTCCCATTCTTTTTTTCATTGGGAGTATATAGATTACCTGTACTTCTGGAAATTTCCTCAGATTTCTCTTTTCTTCTCTTAGGAGTCCTGCCATTGTCCCATGTCCAGATACACCTTTGTTGATTTCATCCTTCCTCTTCCCACTGGCCCCCTTTATAGCCCAGATCCTTATTAGATTATGCTCATACATTGTAATAGCCTCTTAACTGACTTCCATTCTTTTTTTTTTTATGTAAACTCTACCCCCAACATAGGGCTCAAATTCACAACCCCAAGATCAAGAGTCACATGCTGTACTGAGTCAGCGAGGCGCCCCAGCTGACTTCTATTTTCAATACCTTTTTCTTCTAAGCTTTCCTTAGAAGATAGCTTCTAAGCTAGCTTCTGTCCTTGCAGGCTGCCTCCAGATTTTTCTCAAACAGTACAATGATAATAGCTCTCTGTCTTTTTTTTTTTTTTAATTTTTTTAATGTTTATTTATTTTTGAGAGAGAGAGAATGAGAATGAGTCGGGGAGGGGCAGAGAGAGAGGGAGACACAGAATCTGAAGCAGGCTCCAGGCTCTGAGCTGTCCGCACAGAGCCTGACAGGGGCTCGAACCCATGAGCCGTGAGATCATGACCTGAGCTGAAGTTGGATGTTTAACCAACTGAGCCACCCAGGTGCCCTGATAGCTCTCTGTCTTTAAAACCTGCAGTGGTTCCCCCTTTCCCACTCTATTAAATCTAAACTCTTTTTCCTGGTTTCAAGCCTCTCTATCATATGAATCCATCATATTTAATTATATTTATCACTCTTTCTGATATGGATATCTTCCTCTGGTTATATTTATCTAATTAGACTGTGGTCCCACAAACTTACTATTTTTATTCATGAAAAACATTCATGCTGCGGTGCCTGGCTGGCTCAGTCGATAGAACATGCGACTTCATCTTGGGGTTGTGAGTTCAAGCCCCCACATTGGGTGTAGAGTTTACTTTAAAAAAAAAAAAAAAAAAACTTAAAAAAAAATAAAAACATAATGCTGATCTCTTTGCTAAGAATTCTGTCTTCTCCACCAAGCTGTCCTTTCTACCAGTTGCTCCTCCATGAATCCTCTGTTCCAGCCCTGCTACCTCTCCCACCACTACAGACCCTCACACCAGAGGGGCCCTGGAGGGAATTGTAACCGTGTCTTGAGCAGCAACATATGTACCAGATTAAAAACTTCCCAGGTGCAGCAGTAAAGAGTTCCTGCAGCCTGCTTGTTCATATTTTGGGTCTGCATGAATCAGGGATTGAGAGTATGGTTTTAGGCACTATTGTTTTCTGTGCATTCAGTGTTTTTGTCTCTATAATGAAATTACAGTCTCTTTCAGTAGGAGCTTTATTATCCCCCACAGTGTTCATTCAGCAAATTATTCATTCAACAAGTAGTTACTGAGGCACTGTTTACTGCTATATCCCTAGTGCATAAATCAAGAGACAAAAATCCCTGTACTACTGGAGCTTTACATTCTAGCAATGTTAACACTTGATCCTCCAGATGTGCAGATTATATTGCCCTATTTAATTAGCAATAATCAGGGATATCAATCAACATCTAATACATGTTGCATTCTTTAAGAACTAGATTTATTGACTAAAAATGTACATGAAGACTGAGAATAGCCTTGTATATACATTTGTATCCTTTCTATTGTTTAGTATTTTCTCCATATAGCTTTAAAATTATCCTACTGACAGTATGGGCAAAGATATAATGAGAGAAATGTGTCTTTTTTCAGGTATATGCTTTGGGTAGCTACGTTAGAAACCGCAGTATTGCTGATTTTGTTTGTGAAATAAGTAAAAAGCTGCTGATACCATAAAATGCTTTTTCCGTGAAAAATTTCAGTACATCTTCCAGAGTTGTTTTCATCTCTGCCTACAGGGGTAAAGTCCGCATGGAATTAGAGAGGGATATTCTACACTGGAACCTGCTGTGGCCATTGTTTTCTGTTGTTGCTGCTTCTCTAGTGGAGTTACTGCAGCTTAGGGATCTGTTTCTTGGAAATGGACACCTTTTACAAATTATTTTTTAAATAAACGCCAGATCTTCAAGAAGCACTTGTTTTTCTTCCGTCATGCTTCCTAATATATTGTATTGTACTAACCCCTCATACTGGGAGGAGAGACTGCCTAGCAAGCAACCCACTGCCTACTAACATCAAGAGGGGCTAAATAAAACTTCATTTTCCTTGAAAGGACACCTTCTGCCGTATGGATATAATGTTTATGTATTATGCTTTGTACAGTAGTTGATCTTGAATACAGATTTTATTTTGTTTTATACTTTTATGTGACATTACAAAATGTGTGGAAGTTATGGCTTTACTTTCATCAGGGTCTTGTTAGGTGGTTGGCAAGCGAATAGGATTGTGTGCATTTTTTTTTTCCCATACTGTTTTCACTTGTAAATATATATGTGTTAAAGATATGATTATTATCTGGATTACTTCAGGCCTTTTATCTGACATATTATCAGTAAAAATCATGCTGCTTATTCTTTCATAAGATGGTTCTCAAACTTTAGTGTGCATCAGAATCAAGCGTAGGGTTTGTAAACACAGCCAGTCCTCATTCACAGTTTGCCATTCAGTAGGTCCTGGTGGGAATTTGCATTTCTACCAAATAACTGATGCTGTTGGTTCGGGGACCACACTTTGAGAACCACTGCTTTAATATTTTGAATAATACAATGTGTGAGGTGTTTTAAAATCTTCATTAAAACCCCATCTCATTTCATTTCTTAGGCATTTTATCTCTTACAAAGTTCTCTGGATTTATAAATGTATATAGATTTAATAGAAAGATTTATTTAGCTTTTATTTATTGTTCTTTATTAGAAAAATAACGACTGGAAGTTTAAATTAAAGTTTAAATCATTGTTGGGTCCTTAGTTATTATTTTTCTTTCTTTTTTTTTTCTTTTTCTTTCTTTCTTTCTTTCTTTTTTTTTTCTTTGAAGCTGTGTTGAAATCCTTGTCTCCTGTAGACCCAGTGGAACCCATAAGTAATTCAGAACCATCAGTGGATTCAGATATGGGGACAGTTGGTAAAAATGATACTGAAGAGGAAAATAGTAAACCCTCCACAGCTGACAATGAAATAAGTAGTAGGACTGAGTATTTATGTGAAAACCCTCTAGATGGTAAAAATAAAGACAATTCTGCAAATGAAGTCTTCCTCCAAGGAGCTGAAGAAAGAGTGTGTTCCCAATGTGAGAGTGAAGAGGAATCTCGGCAGGCGGACGTAGGGAGCCTGTCCACTGCCCATCCAGCTCCCGGGGACTTATTACAGCCTTCCATTAAGCAGAGGCTGGCACGGCTCCAGCTGTCACCGGATTTTACCTTCACTGCTGGTCTTGCTGCAGAAGTGGCTGCTAGATCTCTCTCTTTTACCACCATGCAGGAACAGACTTTTGGTGATGAGGAGGAAGAACAGATAGTACAAGAAAATGAAAATGAGGTACAAGAGAAGTAGGAACCAAGATTTACATGGAGGATTTTAAATTATTGCTTTTATGCAAGTGTTTTAGCTTCAAGGCTAGATAATCCACTAGAAAGGGAAAATGAGTGTTAAGTTTACTATATATAAAGCTAAGATGTGAATTTACAGCAAGAACCTGGTTTGAACAACTGATCTGAAAATAGTAGTTAACCTGTAAATGGCAAATCTTTTAGGAAAATAAGAAAGGTAAGGGCTCTTTTGAATAAACTGCTCTTTTTTTTTTTTTTGCAGCACAGCTGATCGATCTTGGAAGTTCTTTAGGTACTTTTAATAAGAAACAAATTTATCATTTCTTGCCAGAATTTGCTACCATAAAATGACTGGGATAATTCTGTTGCAAGAACATTAACATTTAGTATGACTCCTTTTTACTGTATTCTTGCAGTTCATAGCTGCAGCTATTATGTTAATAACAACTTGTTTGTATTTTATTTTTGTTTATACCAGTCTTAAAACAAAGATACAGGTTCTGAATAAAAAAAAAAATTGACTTCATACAATTAATGTGTACTGGGGTTTGGAACTAAAAAGTAGTTTCAAAAATACTGGGGTTATGACATTTTTTTTTATGTTTCCTTGTTCATATGTGTATTCGGTAGTTAATTTTAAGGTGCCCTAATAATCTTTAAAAGAAAAACATTGTACTGTTTTAAAAATTACCCTTTCAAATATATTTTGTGTTTTTCTTCTGTTCTTGTTATAACTAATAGAGATGATGTCAAAGTAGGATCCGTATAGTCCAAGGCCCCATAGTCCAAGGCCCCGTGGGCACCTTTGCAGAAAGTTCTTTGTATCTATTTGCCTACAGATAATTGGGTGCCGTTAACACAAGCAGATCATTTCAGCTGATTTCTAGCCTGAGGCTATATCCTCTCCACCTTAATGAGATTCTGGAAACATCCTGCCTGCTTCCTGGAAAGCATCCTTGTCTCCTCAGTTCTTCATTTACAACTACCTCTTAAAAGAGGTTGCTTTCCAAATTGTCCAGTGTCATGATTGCATTTTCAAAATGTGATATTTTCAGGAGTATATTGTTTCTTGAAACCTATAGCTCCTACGCACTGACATAGTTTATAGACATTATTTGGGGAAAGTATAGGAATAATAATTTATGCTGCTGTCCTAGAAAGGAAGTTACACAACGAATATAGATTGTCTTTAGAATTAAGAAACACATTCAGATTCCTGTAAACTTAGTACTTTGAGTCAGTAGATTTATGTGTACCGAGGAGATTTTTATTTAATTTTTTCCAGTAATCTTAGGAAATTTATTTTTTATCCTGAGGAAAAACTTGATTCTGCTTTGTATGAAAAGTAGAGCTCCTTCGTACTATAAGTGATTCTGCCTATTGCCCAAAATTCTGGGACTGTCCATAATCAAGCTCTTAGAAATATCACAGGGTGGGCCCAGTTTACCACTTATAAGTAGCTAAATTTCAAAAACAAAAATCTTGTTTTGAAACTGACAATCGTATTCATAAATAATAATATTTTCTTTTTAGATTACATAGTTTGCCAAGTCTTTTTCCCCTTGGATTTAGAAGAAGCAATTACGGGAACACTTGGTAATTGTTCCCCTAATCTGTGACCTTACACAGGAAGAATTAGAGTTTAATAATTTTTAATTCTTTTATTGTATTATTTTTATTTACACCAGCTTGGGGAAAATGTCTTCATAATATTTCATCAGTTTTATTCAATGCTCTCTAAGCATTGAAAGACTGATTTTGTTATAAATTTTTAAAAACTAATTTTAATGAAGAATCCCTAATCTTCCAATCTGATCTGTTTTATCTGCAAATATTCTTCTTGTTGAAACCATAATATAAGGATCTTGGGACTTTAATTGAAGGTTCTTTTTTTGTGTAGTTTTTAAAATGTCTTTCATCTTATAAAATATTGCTGAGATAAAATAGTATCTTCCCTGTGAATATTCCCAATGTTCTCTTATAGTAGTCTAAAAGTCAGTGTATCTCAGTTTTTGTTTTTGTTTTTTATAGGATGCCTATATTAGAATAAACTGGAGGTCTTATTTTTAAAATGCAGATTTGGGGCCATAACTCCCAGTCATTCTTAATCAGTCATTTTGGGATGAGACCTAGGTGGTGTGTATGCTCAGTCAAATCTAAGAACCTCTGTCTAGGACTTTGTTTTCCTTGCCATGGATATCTTAGGAAATTAAAACAAATACGCCAATGTGACATAAGTAGGTATTCTTATTACTTTTCTAAGAATATTTCACTTTGTATTATCAGGCTTTTGACTAGTTTTAATAGTTGACATCCTGCATCTAAAAGAAGCCCGCTGGGAATAATATTTTGTGATGCAAAACTTGTAATTATGCTTTCCAAATTTTACAGTGATATTTTGACAGGATAATTCTTGTTAAGAGTAATATCCTGACAGCTTTTGATATGAACATTTCCAGAGTTTATTTTACCAGGACAGAGCCGGTACAGAAACTATTTAGGGTCACTCTTGAGGACAAAATTTTTACACTCTGCCTACAGTGAGGAAAGTCATGGCAGTAAATGACCTAATAATGGTTATCATACCTTAAATTCTTTTTTTTTTTCAGCTATCATTATTATAACCCGCATATCGGGACTATCTAGGACCAGACTCTTACTGGTCTTTGATTTGTGATCTTTGGCTTATTTTTTAAGTTGTCTGTATTATCTGCCTTCACTAGTTAAGTCTTCTTTAAAATTGTACTTCATTAAAATTGTATGTTTGAATATATTTAATTAAGAACTCATGTATTGACTCAGGTTTGATTTCTGAAGTTATTGGAGACAAGTCAGGAGAAACACATTTAAGGCAAATTGCTAAGGAAATTTAAGAATATGGTTTTAAGGCTTTAATACAAAAAGGCTTTAATACAAAATTAAACTTTAATCTAAGTTTAAATCTCAGAGCCATCATTTAAAAGCTATGGGTGCAGTTGACCTAATAATGTCATGGGGAGTTTTTCCAGCAAAAACCAAATTCTCTGGATTGCTAAATCATGTTGGTAAATTCTTACTCCTCAGAAGTAGTTAAAAAAGAAGTGAAACTTTTGAGGCTGAAAAACAAGATCTGGTTATAATTATGTTAGTAAAATAGGTCAATTTTCTTTAAGAAATAAATGCTAATATTCTGATTCACATAATAAAGGTGGTGAATGTTAAAGCATAAAAAATTATGTTTTGATACATTTCACAAAATTATAAATCAATGGAGTGTTAATTGGAAGGGAGCCTAGGAGTCATTTCACTCTGGTGACTTATAGTGACTTATACACTGTAAGTAATGTAAAATATGAAGTATTTTGATAAATTATTAGAAATCATGTGGGAGGAAAAATTCAACTGATTTGGTTTAATCATAGGACATTGTTTCCATACCCAAAAAAAACAAGGAAATAAGAACTAAATGCCATGAGACTATGCTATAGCTCAGCAGACTCGTTATTTGAACTAAAGTAGATAGCATGCTATGAATGAAACACAGACAAAGCAAAAATTGATTTATTCTTCCATTTCTGTTGATCACAACATGTCTCTGTAATTCACACTTATAGTAGAAAATGAAGCTGTAAACATACTAGAAACAAAAATATAGGAAAAATACCATAAGTAGAGTAACAATTTATTGACAGGTAAATAACTGACAGTAATTATCGACAGGTGACTAACTTGCATGAGTTAATTTTTCATGTAACTGAAGCAAATCCATTTAATCATAACAGTTTTTAATAATTTAATAGGAGGGGCACCTGGGTGGCTCAGTCGGTTTAAGCATCCGACTTCGGCTCAGGTTATGATCTTGAGGTTTGTGGGTTTGAGCCCCATATCGGGCTCTGTGCTGACAGCTCAGAGCCTGGAGCCTGCTTTAGATTCTGTGTCCCTCTCTTGCACTGCTCCTCCCCTGCTCATGCTCTCTCTCTCTCTCTCTCTTTCTGTCTCTCAAGAATAAGTAAAACATTTAAAAAATTTTTTTAAATAATTTAATAGGAAAATTTTTAGAATGTACTTTCTGTACTTTTTTCTAGAATATTTAGGATATAATTTAACTTTTTCTCAGTCATCTTTAAGGATATCAGTTCCTCTCACAGGGTAATAAACAGAAATGCACCCTCAGGAGCAACTGAGATACATAATGTTCTATGCCCCTTTACCCTGTGACCCTGCAGAACTTTGCTTTTTGAGCTAGGTCTGGTTTTCACAGTTTCTCTATCTTCCCTTAAAATCAGCTGTCACTTTTTGCTGCTGTCTTGTGTGCCTGCCTCTTGCACTAGGTCCCCAATTTGCTGCTTCTCATCTGCTGTGGGCTGAGAAACCAGATTGCCAACCTTGCTAGAATTGTGTCTAAAATAAGAGTAGACTGAAAGAAGGCTAAGGGACTTTTCTGTCAGTTATGTGCATGGCCTTTGTGGTACCTATTTGGCTGCTTAGCATACTTTTGTTTGCCTGATCACTCTTTACTAAGAACTTGCTAAAAATACTTGGTTGAATATGTGATTGCCATATATTTAAAGTATTAATTCAGTTTTTATATGTTCATGTTTCTAGGACTTTCCATTAATGAATTCAGCTATAAAAGAGAATTTGATTATTATCTTTGTATAAATCATTGTGTATATTTTAGGAAAGTGTTTTGTTTTTGTTTTTGTTTTTTTTGGTTTTTTTGCTCATTATTCCTAGTATAGGACACAGACTGAAAACTTAAACATTATAAATATGACTCCAACTCTGTCCACCAAGATTTATATTCTAGAACTATAGGTTTGAGACTAAACATGCACAGCTAATTTAGAAAGAACTGGCTAACTGGATATTTGGAGAATGACTCATTCTAGATATCCCAGTTTTCTATAGAACTTAAACCTCTTTAAGCATTAAAATTTCTCAGAATAATTTCTGAAGGTGATCTTTTTAAAACAATATGCGTTGCTATCTTATTAAACAATATATGAAAATCATTTAAATCTTTTTTGATGTCAAAATGATCATTATTAACAACAGTTATTATACTGTGATAGTCTAATTAAGGCACTGAGAGCTACATGCCCTTTTACTAAATGGCTCCATTCTGATGTGCTTTTTTCATTTTCTTGTCTTTGTTTTCTGATAGCAGTTCTCATTCCTCCAGTTTCTCCAAATACCGCTTAAGTGTGCCCATAGCAATGGCCTTTCTCCACCTTCGTTATGCTCCTTCTAGTCTGTTTTGGTTTCGGAAACCAGGTAACTAAAACAGCTAGAATAATGTATAAAGTAAGAACAAATTGACTCAGTGAAGACCTAAAAACCTGGATTATACTTAAATGCATGGATTTTGTGGGTATCTATTACTACCTATTTCATTGCTATCTTTAAGTGAAGTTACTAAATTAGGTACCTGCTCTCAAAATAGAAGAGCTGTTATTGTACAAAAGGAATGATTATGCTTCTATACTTTACCTTCTCTACATTCTATTCTTTAATTTTTTGGCTCTGATTAAAACCAGCCAACTCAAATTAGCATTTTCTACAGTACTTTCTAGTTGAATCAGATACCACATGTTGCTAAGAATTTCTTTGGCTAGGTTGGTTGTTGTTACTTTGGTTTTGTTTTTAGAGAAATGTATTTTCATTTCTGAAACAATGAAGTAGGTTGAGTCCTGGAAAATAAGAAAACTTTCATAATTGATATCTTAGAGAACTGAAAAGTAATAAGGTCTTTAGACTCTAGGCAGTTTTACCACAAAGAACTTATTCTTTGATGTGCAGCATTTTAACACAACATCTTTATTTTTATTCAACGCAATGTATGTTAAAAGTTTGCCAGAAGTTATCAGTGTTAGAGCTAATGATGTTGACAGATGTTTGAATGACTAAATACCCAGTGTCATTCTATATTTTGCGTGTTTAAATTACCATTTGATGTTAAGCAAACATGATGATTTTTCTCTCTTGAATGAAAAATAAACACGAAATTCACATGTTACAATGTTTGCAAGTAAAATTCAGATTTGTCTAGAAAGGGATACCCTCACTTTGAATAACTTAGTTTTACAAATAGGCTGATTATGTTTTAGTCCATACGTTGATTCATCTATCCATCATATACAGGGTAATTGGAAAATCAGTCTATGGCCATGACACAGCTTAACATTATTCATATGCTACTGGGAATTGTGATATAATATTCACTTAAAAATAGAGGATCCAAACCCGTTTCTTGAGTTGAGACTGCCATTACAGAATAATTATGACGCCAACCCCTGGTTGGTGGTACAAAGAGAGAAATTCTCTTTGAGTATAGTTGTAAGAGGAAAGTGATTCTACTCAGTATAATTGCTATAAATTGAAAAGAGGAGGAAGTGATTACAGGATTCGCATATACAAAGGTATAACATGAATAAATTCTAAAATGTGTGATCAATTAAAATGCATATGGTATTTTTTAAATGCTGTACATTTTAATATATTTTAACCTGTCAGCAGTTGAGTTAATTTGTTTCATCCCTGTTTACTGAATTTCATTTGGCACATATCAAACATGTTATTGAAACAGGACAGTATTTAAGTTGTGTATACTTCTGATACACTGTTTTTCAAAGTGGGTATATTCTATGAGCCATTGTTGTAGAAATATGTATTTCCCATCATATTTGTATCTTAAGAGTTTCTCAAGATAAAGAATAATTCTATTGTTTTGAACTTTACATTTTTCACTTTTATAGCATTTCCTAAAGGTTGGCTACCTACAAAATGAGTTTATTTCATCTTTGAAATTTTTTCTAAAACTAAAGCATGTCTTTCACAAGTTTTTTGTTTTTTATGATATCCTAAGAAGTTACATATCCTTTACCCCTCCCAAAGTAAATTTTAAAATTAATTCCAAGTTTAAGTCAAAGTATTTTCTGCACAGTACTGGCACCTGGCAACGTACAGAAAACTCCAGAAATGTTACTCCCCTTCCTTAAACATTGTATGGTCTGGTACAGCCCTGGAGGTCCATATGAGTGAAAAGCCCAGAAGTCACCTGAGCTGAAAGCACTCCCAAGGAGTTTCGTTTTGTTTGGGTTTGTTCTAGGTATGGTCCCAGGGATCCCAGATCAAACCAGGCCCCTGGGCCTATCCTAGAACCAACCTAAACTCGCGCATCATTCCCGGAACATCAAGAGTGTGAAGACTGAAGATAACCTGAGGCTGACTAGACTTCCTACGTTCACCAGAACTCACTTTTTTGTATGTGTGCCTACATTTTAGCAAAAATTGGTTCATTAATCCTTCCAAAATTAGAGGAATGACAGTGGGTAACAAGATAAAGTCTTACCAGACTTTGACATTACAGTTATCACAGTAGAAATGTGATCTATAATATGGTTATTATTAATTGCTAGTAGGAGAATTGTTCTTGTAACTTATCAGATTTCTATTTTGTGGTTAAATGACATTGTCACACAAAAAAATTTCTCCCCTAAATTAATGGTTTCTTTTTTCTTTGGCTTTGTCAAACACTTTCTACTCAACAATATGATTAACAGTCTTGTTTAATTATGCATCATCTCTGAAAGGCATTTGGTCTTTGCCCTTGACTCCAATGCCGAGTAATTTTAAAATCTTTTTTCGGGGCGCCTGGGTGGCGCAGTCGGTTAAGCGTCCGACTTCAGCCAGGTCACGATCTCGCAGTCCGTGAGTTCGAGCCCCGCATCAGGCTCTGGGCTGATGGCTCAGAGCCTGGAGCCTGTTTCCGATTCTGTGTCTCCCTCTCTCTCTGCTCCTCCCCCGTTCATGCTCTGTCTCTCTCTGTCCCAAAAATAAATAAACGTTGAAAAAAAAAATTAAAAAAAAAAAAATATTTTTTCTGGAGACCAGTGCCTTTTTTCTTGTAATCTTTTGAATCCACCACACTGCTTTGAGCTTGTTTTTTAGGTTCAGTTCTGGGAAGAACAGCATCATTTCAGACTCATTGTAGAGGCTACATTTCAGAATCTGCTATGGTTGATAAAAAGCATGATAGAGTGAAAATGGATTAATACTTTACAGATTACTGAAGTGTTTTGCAGAATAAGGTTTTTATTATTATTATTTTGTTGTTGTTGTTGTTGTTCCCTGCTGCTCTGGGTTTTTAAAAGATTGTGACCTACTTGATTCATCACATGGTCTCCTACCATAACTGTGACATTGCTGTTTTATTTCGTTTGAGGACAGGATTTCTGAAAAGGCATGAAAAGACCCCAAACCCAAAGGTTATGATACACAATGGAAATGTATACTTTTGGTAATACTGGCATTTCAATAGGTTTAGACCATGTTTGAAATAATTGCAGACAAATCAGGGATTCCAACTGTGAAAAGAGCCCAAAACTGTGCTGTTCCTCCAAGCCTTGTTACCAGAAAAATTGGATCACTGAGTTATCCTTTAAAAGAGGACTGTGAGTTTGAGGCTCATTCTGAAGAACTGAACCCTGGGATTAGATCTGTACTGCCTTCATCACATAGATGCTTCATCCCATGGCTTCTATTATTTTTGCCTTTTAAATCATATTTTGATTACCCTTCTCAGTGTTTTCTTTTTTGCACAGTGCTTCCTGTTTACATAAATCAAAACTATACATGTTAGTACTGTATATGTATGTATTTTTTTGATAAAACGAAACCTTGGATCTAAAGGTTTGGATTTCTATTCCTTTTAATGTCAAATGATTAAAATGCTTTTACTGTCTTATAAATTCACTCTTAATTTATGCCTCAATTCTTCCAATTAATTTTTTCTAATGAACGACATTACAATTAAATAGGTGAGCCTTATATCAGTTTCTTCCAGAATTTATGACATTTTGCATTCACCCAAACATGACAGTGTTCTAACATCAGCAATCTTGTATCCATGCACTGATCTGTAAGCATAGGTGACTATTTCTTGACATAGCCTGAAATGTATGAACCCATCTTATGTTTATGTTCAGTAAGTGTTCTCAGTATTTGAGGAGCATTTGCATTCTCTTTTGACATTGTTAATTATGAACACCTAAAATAGGAATGTGAGAACTGTCTTACAGAGTTCAGGCTTGTTTACATAGTAAGTTTCTAAAGTCAGTCTTCACTCCAGTCTTAACACTGGAGTGTGTTAAACTGTATTTTTTTAAATACCATTTAAGAATATCCTTTATTTTAATTTTTACTTTTTGACTACTTATATTTTATGTAGAACTGTACATCTCCTGCCCTACCTAAGATTTTCTCATCAATACTTTCTTTGCTCGCTTGATATATCTTACCATACTGAATTTTTAAAGGATTTTTACAAAAACCAACAGTAGGTTTGTATATGTCTGTATTATTGTTGTTCCTCCTAAGTTTAACTAGTCTCTAATAAAATCTGTACTTCTTTGTGTCTTTTGTGTGTGTGCCTTTTTTTTTGATTCTGATGTTTGCCACATGAATTAGCCAAAAAGTAAAAATTCTTTTTCTCTTCCTTCTGTCTGTATTTTTCAGAATATGTTAACAAAACCACAAAAGACAGTTTTCTAGGAAAGCTTTGGATTCATTAGTCTAAGTTTTGTTTGGTCGGTCATTAAAGTGCCTCACATGATATTTTATCAGAGTGAAACAGCAAATGAATTTTAAAAGCTTGCTTTTCACCCTTCTCAGTGACTGTCAGCCATTGGATACATTCTAATCATGTTATATTTGTTGACTTGTACGACCTTTCTGACAGAAAATACCTACTGAATTAAGAAGGAAGCTAACATCCAATGGATCATACTTTGTCCTATGTAATTGAATGAACTATTTGTTTATACATTTCTAAGCTTAGCTACAGCCTTGGGAACATTCGTGGTAGCTCCAGAATGGCTCTGCAGACCGAATGCTGGTTAAAGAGAAAGTGGCCTTCCTTGAACAACTTTTATTTACTTATTTCTTTTACTATTACAAAAGTTTTATTTAACAGAAAAGTTCAGTATGAAAATGCACATGACCTGATTTTTATTTATTTTATTTCAAGTTATTTAAATTCTAGTTAGTTAACATATATGGTAAAATTGGTTTGGGGATAGAATTTAATGATTCATCACATACAACACCTAGTTCCCTCCTAATGCCCATCACCTGATTACTATCACCCCGCCTGCCTTCCCATCAACCCCTCAGATTGTTCTCATAGTTAAGAGTCATATGGTTTGCTTCCCTCTCTTTTTTCCTCCATTCATCTCTTGTGTCTTAATTTCCACATATAAGTGAAATAATATGGTATTTGTCTCTATTTCACTTAACATAATACACTCTACCTCCATCCACGTTGCAAATGACAAGATTTCATTATTTATGATTGCTGAGTAATATGACCTGATTTTTATACTGTATTAAAACAAGTTCGGGGGGGGGGGGGGTTGTGTGTGGGAGCAGTTGATTTCTTCTGGTGAATATACCCATTGTTTTTCAATTACCACCATTCCAATATCATTCTGTTGCCCAATAGCCATTTCCACACATTGATCTATCACAAGATTCATAAAGGGATCGAATCCCTACAATATTCCTTGGACCTACCACCATTTAATTTCAATGATAATTTCTTATCCATAAATTTTTTCAACCCTGAGGGTGAGCTTTGCTCAGGATGTCTACTCGGCAAGTTAAAAGATGCCTCCAAACATTTGAACTGAGCTTTTAAACTACCTCTTTCCAGAAAAGATTTGAAGCAAGGAACACACATTCATAAAGGCAGTTCTTGAAATTTGGCCCTTATCTGGGATTTACTAATTAAAAGTGTGAGACAAGATAGAATATATTAGTTACTCTACCGGATCCTGAAGTCATTGGGTAGGAAATATCCTGTATGATAATCACTCTTTGTCTTCACAATTTGCTTTTGAAGGTCTTCAGCAGATGTGCTATAGCCATTGAAAATAAAGTTGGCAAATACTAATTTTCCCCTAATGTACATCTGTAAAAATTAATAGAAGAGTTTCAGAATCTGTTCATGTGAAAATCAGTCCTACTTATTTTTTAAAAATTGGTTTTTTGTTTATTTGTTTTTAATTTTAACCAAGCTCTATGTCTAACATGGGGCTTGAACTCATGACCCCAGATCAAGAATCACATTCTCTACTGACTCAGCCAGCCAGGTGCCCTAGTCCTACTTATTTGAAGAAAGACCTTAAATGTGTTCTTATGAGAAAATATTTACATTTATACACAAAATAATATTAGGCATCAAACATGTCCCTAGAACCTGAATACATTGAAGGTCAAGAAACCAGCTTAGTTTTCTCACTCAAATTTGTACATGTGAAGTGTCAGAACCAGTATCCTCCCCAATTCTAAAAGACTTCTTTATGATAAGCTGCCTGTGGATACATTTCATTTTACAGCTAAACTCTAGGGGAGAGTACAGAGCCTTTGAATTTAGAAGTCCGTAGACTTGGATTATGGACAAAACAACGTCTCTAAAACTCACAGAAATCATTTAACTATGTCAAGGCACAGTTTCCTCTGTTAAATAAAAAGCACTGGGGCGCCTGGTGGCTCAGTCGGTTGAGCCTCCAATTCAAGACTTCAGCTCAGGTCATGATTTCACAGTCCTGGGATTGAGCCCCTAATGGGGCTCTGCACTGGAATAGAGCCAGTTTGGGATTCCCCCTCTCCTTCTGCCCTTCCCCCACACACATGCGCACATATGTTCTCTCAAAAAGAAAAAAAAAAAAATCATGATTTGTGAATTGGACTAGCCCTCTAAAATTCTTTTCCAGGGCTAAAATTCTCAGATTCTCTTTTTCCTAACAAAGAGATACAACTCTACTGTGAAAAGCCAAGGTTGTCATTCTTTTCCAGGGTGCAAGAGGACTTATATTTAGGCACAGGTGAGCAGCCTACTAAATATTCAACCTTAAGATTAAGAGGCTAAGAGGTGGTAGGGGTGGAGAAGATAGTAGTTGAAAAAGTATAGGTGGTTCCAGCTCAGAACTTAAACTGCTAAGAACTAAGTATATCTTACATCTTAAAGCAGTCTAATACTAGTACGTGAAAAGCAGGGTATAAGAACTTAAAAGGAACAATAGTTCCCTATGATTGCATGTTACTCCTTTCCTCTTAGATGGCGTAATCTTTTCATCATGAAGGGATGTCCTATTACAAGGTTTTCTCTATAGGAATAGAATTTTCTGCTTTATCTTCATTTCAGTAGCAAAAGAACCTATCTCTTGTTTCATATCTTGTTCCTTGATCTGAAACACTTTATTCTTTAGCACCCATGCCTAGCTATTAGCCATGAATCCACTTATCTTGCCTGAACTTAGAAGATTAAGCTCTGACAGGTGGGTAATGATGGCCAATGACAAAGCTACTGTGCAAAATATGTACACTGGGATCTGAAGAGTTGAACAGTGTTAATCTCTTAAACAGTGACATAAGGGCAACTTTTAGCCAGTTTTTTCACCTCAAAAAGTGTGAAATACATATGGGGGAAAAGTGTAATTTAAGAAATTGGTAAGTTGAGGATATGTAGGATTTTGTTGCAATTTTGGGCTTCTAGTCACACACAGGCAGAAAGCTTTTCATTTTGTGTATATTCAAGCCATCCCCTCTTAGGCTAATCCTGGGGTCTGGAGAAAAAAAGAGACAAGGCTGCAGTGTTTAATTCTTGCAGAAATAACTTGGTCAAAATACAGAAAAATGTTGAACTGGAAAAAACCTTAAGTTTGTATATGTCCAGAGGCCAGTGTAGGTACCAGAGGCCAGTACCAAAATTCAAAAATTCTCCTTTCTGAAATCATATTGAGTTGAAGTTCAGTTGAAATTGAAAACCTAGAGTAATCTAATCCAGAGGTGCCCAGCATTTTATCAAGCTAGGACCCCTGATATTATTTTCCCCATGGGTAACATGTTTTGAATAATTTTTTTATCTAGCACATAACCTACATGAATTGAAACTCTGTAAGTTGCACTCCCTCCCTCATATTTTAACTAAGGCTATAGTGGCCATTCAGTTTGAGTGTGTGCTGCATGCCAGGCACTATTCTCGTGCTCAGGGCAGAGCAGTGAACAAGGTGAATACTAGAGGGGAGAGCTGGACAATATATTGGGAGTTAGATGGCGGTAAATGCTCCACAGAAAACAAAGCCAGGGAAGAGGAATATGGAGGATGTAGAGTGCTTTTTATACAGGGCAGTCACGTTTGAAGGGAGTGAGGGAACCAGCCACACGAAAGCCGTAAGTGAAAGGGCCTTGAGACAAGAACAGCAGAGAAGAGGTAAGTGAAAACTCCTTGAGAAAGGGGCTGGCTGGTCGAGGAGGGCCTTGTAATGTATATGTTTTGCTTTGAGATAGGAAGCCATTGGAGGGTGTTAAGCAGTAGACTGACAAGACTTGACTCAGGTTTCAAAAATATTAAGTTTAAAAAGCATTCTTCTGTGTGGAAGTCTGACAAGGATGGGGAAAGGGACATCTGTTGGCTAATGCAGTAAGGTATGTGACGGATGGTGCTCATTGGTAGTGAAGGTCTTGAGGAGCAATCCAAGTCTGGATATATATGTTGAAGATAGAGCCAATAGGATTTTCAGATGCAATGTATGTGCAGTACAAGAAAGAAGTCTAGTTGATTCTGAGGTGTTTGGCCTGAGCAACTGGAGGAACAGAGTTGTCATTTCCTGAGATGGAGCACCAAGTGAAGTTTGGGTAGAAATTGAGCTGGTTTGGGATTGGTTAAATGTAAAATAGTTATTAATTGGGGCGCCTGGGTGGCTCAGTCAGTTAAGCATCTGGCTTCGGCTCAGGTCATGATCTTGTGGTTTTTGGGTTTGAGCCCCGTGTCAGGCTCTGTGCTGACAGATCAGAGCCTGGAGCCTGTTTCGGATTCTGTGTCTCTTTCTCTCTCTGCCCACCCCCCGCCACCTCCCGCCATGCTCATTCTCTGGCTCTCTCTGTCTCTCAATAATAAATAAACTTAAAATTTTTTTAAATAAAATACTTATTAATCATTAGGTGGAAATGCTGGATAGGCAATTGAATATGTGAATCTAAGTTCAAGAGAAAGATCCAGAGTAGGAGATGTCAGTATTTTGGGTGGTGTTTAAAGTTGTGAGCATAAGTCAGAGGGGTCAGCACACTGAAATCTTTGGGGAACCTATGGTTCATAGGCCAGGAGATCAAAAGGAACCTAAAAAGGAGACTGAGAAGGAGCAATTAGTGACACAGAAGGAGTGGTGTCCTGGAAGGCGAATGAAGAAATTATTTTATAGAAGAGGCAGTGATTAACATATCAGTTGCTGCTAAAAAATTGAGAAAGATGAGTCCATTTGTATATATTTTTTGGAAAAATGTCTGAGTTCAAATCCTTTGCCCATTGTTAAAATAGGGTTATTTATTTTTGTTGTCCTTTATATATTCTGGATATTAATCATTTATCAGGCATATGCTTTGCAGATATCTTCTCCCCTTCTGTGAGCTGTCTTTTCACTCATGATAGTGTCCTTTGATGCACAAACATCATAAATTTTGATGGAGTCCAGTTTATCTATATTTTCTTTTGTTGCTAAATTTCCTTGACTTTTCTTTTTTTTATTTTTAAAAAATAATATTTTTTTCAACGTTTATTTATTTTTGGGACAGAGAGAGACAGAGCATGAACGGGGGAGGGGCAGAGAGAGAGGGAGACACAGAATCAGAAACAGGCTCCAGGCTCCGAGCCGTCAGCCCAGAGCCTGACGCGGGGCTCGAACTCACTGACCGCGAGATCGTGACCTGGCTGAAGTCGGACGCTTAACCGACTGCGCCACCCAGGCGCCCCTCCTTGACTTTTCAAAAGAGGCAATAGTACCACCTGATTCATAGGATTATCATGAAGATTAAATAATACATGTGAAGGCGTGTAAAGGGACTGGGACAATGTCTGCCACATAAGGAGCATTCAATAAATACGTTATTATCCAGGCTAAGTCTGTAGTATAAAAACCAAGGGTCAGGGGCGCGTAGGTGGCTCAGTTGGTTAAGTGTCTGACTCTTGATTTCCGCTGAGGTAATGATCTCACAGTTTGCGAGTTCGAGCCCCGTCTTGGGCTCTGCACTGACAGTGCGGAGCCTGCTTGGGATTCTCTCTCTCTCCTCTTTGTCCCTTCTCCCTCTCTCAAAAATAAATAAGTAAAGAAATAAATAAATAAAGCATAGGGATAGAAATACAACATGTGACATAGAAGCCGAAGAAGTAGAGGGTTTCAAGAAGAGCATGATCAGTGCAAAATGATGCAGAGGTGTCAAGAAAGATCCAAAGAATAAACTTAGACTTGGAACCTACAAGTTCAGACAGTGGTGTGACAGAGGCAGATGCCAAATTATACTGGATTGAGAAAATCTATTAGGCCCTCTTTGATCTCCAAGACCAGGTCTGCTGTTTTGGCCCTCACAGTGATCCAACCAAAACTGACCCTGTGGGGGCTGCTGAAATACAGTGGGGGGAACACTTGGGTTGGAGTGAGAACAACTGGGTTAAAATTCCTGGTCTTCTACCACTTGACACCTGTGGTCCTCTCTCCGAGCTGCAGGTCCCTCGCTCTTAGAGGACAATTATTCCTATTTTACAGGGTCAGTAACATGCTTACATGAAGACTTGGCATAATAGTAATTCTTTAGCTATTAGTGTTATAATAAATGGTTCTATTCTGATTCCTCATTTTATTCTAACATTCTAACTCAGTAGTTCTTCCTGAGTACCAGGTTTTGTGGAGTATTCCCACTTTACAGACACTTGGCTTAGAAGTTTGCAATGACAGTAAGATGAGATTAATACATGTCAAATGCTTATGATGATTTGGATGCTTATGATGATTTGGGCTACTGTTGTATTCTTGTTTTTATTCTTATTTATTTTTTTTATTTTAGAGAGACAGAGAGAGAGAGAGAGGGCATGAGCAGGGCAGGTGCAGAGGGAGAGAGAGAGAGAGAGAGAGGATC